TGAAAATGTTGCAAACTGTCATTATGGTTTCAAACAATGCTGTTCCGATGAAGTTAGAAAGTTCTGAACAGAAGATAGTAGTTGTCAGAACGTCAGACTTCTTCATATGCAAGATACAGATATTTTGACGACTTAGCAGAAACTTTGACATCTGACTTTTTCAACCACTTGTTCTCATATTTTATGACATTAGATATTTTCAAAGTTCAATCCAAGACAAATTCCCACATACCCTGAAGAGAGACAAACATTGTTAAAGAAGCAAACAAGAGTGTTATATGAACTGTTCATAGATGAAACTGACTTTGAGTGTTTAGATGAAAGGTACATTGTACGATTCGTATAAAACAATATTGTTCAAGAATATGGTTATATGACAGCGTCTAAACGAACATTCTTGGCAAAATGTCAAAAGTCTTTTAACGCTACAGAATGGTGTATATACAAAGAAATGCTGCGGAAAGTTCGTCAAAAAGTGAAGGTTCCCGACGGTTTCAAACCGCCATACTTTACATGAAGATAGTTTACAATGTCAACTAAATATCATGTATGATAGAAACGGTTATGTAAAGTTTACATTTTGTACAAAAATATTGTGAGTAAATGAACTCATTATTTTTGCATCATGACACGAAGTGAAGATTTGCACTTCGTCAAAATGTGATGCAAAACAAGCATTTTATGAGCTTACTAAGGGCGTTATAAATGAATTCAAAGGTATTTACATACATCCTGACCTCGTTCATTTTGTTGCTGAATTCAGCAAAAATAATGTTTAGGGTAGATGGTTAGATCTAACCTCATTTCTACCCTCATTTCTACCCTCATGAATTTTCATGAATTTCCTTAAGATAGAAAAAAATAAAGTTAATTTTATTTTTATTTATTTTTTTTTATTTTTATATAAATATGATTACAAAAATCGAAACATCAGCACTTTCGACAGCATGCACGGCACCAAATTCATTAATCATGAATCCTACGTCAATGTTGGTAGAGATGAAAAACTTCATTCCTTCTTCATATACTTTTGAGACAGAAATACAAAGAATTAAGCAAGAACTTTTAACAAGTAATTTAGACTGTAGTGCGAAAGATGAAACAAATGAACAGTATCTTTATGACATGCAGGACATTATTGACCATTTACCCAAATTGCCTGAAATCCAACAACAAAAGCTCACTATTCCTGAATTCGATGAAATTGAAGTTAAAGTTACTGATTCAGTAGAAATAAAGAAGTTCATACGTAAAGTAAATTATGAATTCCTTGGTTTTCATTGCAACCATAAAGTTATGAACAAAGATTGCGACATGGTTTATAAAAACATTTCTGACATATATAAATCTGAGGAGTTTAAGACTTACGATAACTTTGTTTCATTAGCTGCTGAATGTGTGTGGCAGATAAGAGATAAAGACAGAAGAGGCAAAGTATGGAACGAACAGATAAAACCAACAACTTTTGAGTTAAAGAAAACCATTGACGCCTTAGTTGTTCTAGCAGGTCAAATTTCAATGTATAACGCAAAAATGAATCCGCAATGTTCAAAATGTAAAGCAGCAATGAGGAAATATAACTACTCAGTAAAAGAGATAGAAAGAATGAGAAACGATTACGCAGACTTAAAGAAAGAAGCAGAAAAGCCAGCAGAAGATAAAATGGACATGTTGACATTTCTTAATAAAAACTATCCCACAGCTGATGATTTCCTTTTATCTGATGTCAAGAAGAAGTATAAAGAAACTTTCGGCATTGTTAAAACATTCGATGTACTAAAAGAAGAAATAGAAGCTAGAAAACTGTTTAGAATCTCACGAATTCATAACGTTTACCATGTAAAACGTTATGAATAATGAGGGTAGAAATGAGGGTAGAAATGAGGTTAGATATCAGGTTAGATCTAACCATCTACCCTAAACATTATTTTTGTCTGAAAAATGACCAAATTTCATGAATTTCATTAGTTAGAAAAATAACGCTAATTTTTTTCTAAGAAAATTTTTTATCTTGTATGTAAAGACAGTAATGTCAAACATTGAGTTTGAAACAGTTAGAAAGATAGACAATGACACCAAAGTGGTTAGAATAGGTGATTTAAACGTAAGATACTCAAAGAAATACAACAAATATTCTTTGTCAGACATTATATCTCCATCTGAAAAGAAAACAAACCACTGGGTTAGAAATGCTTCAACTCAGAAAATTTTGACAAGAAATCCTGAGCTTATGATATCGGTAAGATTCTATGGAACTACAGCATATCTCATTGACAAAAGTCTTATACCAATAGTTTTGTTATGGATTGACCCAGTTGTTGGATATAACTTCATAACTTATGGTTCATTCGATACGGAACGTTGCAGTGAAGGCTTACTTTATATCGTTCAGAAACCGAAGGACTTCAATACAAAGAGATATAAGATAGGAAGAACATATAATATAACTCAAAGATATGACAGTACAGTCAATAGAGTCAAGGTTGTGTTCGTTAATGATATGAGAGCTGCAGAAACAGAACTACTTGAAAAGTTTGAGAAAATGTATGGTGCTCCCATGAAAGGTAAAGAAACTTTCGAAGTAGATGAGATAGATAAAGCTATAAAATTATTTGACGAAGTTGCTGAAAAATACATGTAAAGCGTTTATTTTTGGTCTTTTGTGAAAGTCAGAAAATAAAGTTAGAATTTTTTTTATTTATTTTTTTATCCTGTATGTAAGAACAGTAATGTCAACATCAGAGAACACAACAACAGTTATAGTCCATGAAGCCATAAATGAAGAATACGAATACATACAATATAACAAACAACTTCGCCTCATTCGTTCGGTCAAAGATGACATGTACCAAATGCAAAGTATAATGAATGCTCTTCGTTCTACAAAGCAAGCATATCATTGGTTTGAAAACCAACAGACAAAAGAACTTTTAGAAGAATTTCCTCATATGATTGCTTCCCTCGGAAAACCGAGAGAAGAGATTCCGTACGAAAATCGCAAGAATTTGGCTCCTGGTTTGAAAGGTTATTATGTTCATAGACTTTTAGTAAATGCTGTAGCAATGTGGGCTTCACCTCGTTATGCTTGTTATATTTTCATGATGTTAGATGAACTATATAAAGCAGAACGTGAAGATATGGAAATGAAACTTCAAGCAAAAGATGAAGTCATTGAATCCAAAGACAAAAGCATACAGAAAAGAATACCACGTTCAGTACCAAAAGGAAAGGAAAAGAGTTATAAGTATATGATATATACTGAAGAGTTGGAGAAAGAAGAAGATAGAGATATGGTTATGTTGCATTTAGTGAGAAGAAACAACAAGAGCTTTTATGACTTAGCTAAGATATATAAATCTGACAGAAACTGGTTCTATCGTGAAAACTTACCGATTTCAATGACACCGAATGAGCAAATAAAGGAAATTGTCAAAAATACTCTTCCTCAAACACACTATGACATCAAAGGTTGCACAATACTTACATTCAAAGAAGACTTAACATTACTGAAAGAAAAGATAACAGAATATTTCGACAACTTCAAAGAGGAAGAATGAAAACTTACCGATTTCAATGAAAAAACATTAACTTTTTGACGAAGTGAAGATTTGCACTTTGTCAAAATTTAATGAAAACTTACCGATTTCAATGAAAAACATTAACTTTTTGACGAGGTGAAGATTTGCACTTTGTCAAAATTTAATGAAAATTTACCGATTTCAATGAAAAACATTAACTTTTTGACGAAGTGAAGATTTGCACTTTGTCAAAATTTAATGAAAATTTACCGATTTCAATGAAAAACATTAACTTTTTGACGAAGTGAAGATTTGCACTTTGTCAAAATTTAATGAAAACTTACCGATTTCAATGAAAAACATTACCTTTTTGACGAAGTGAAGATTTGCACTTTGTCAAAATTTAATGAAAACTTACCGATTTCAATGAAAAACATTAACTTTTTGACGAAGTGAAGATTTGCACTTTGTCAAAATTTAATGAAAAACATTAACGTAAACATTAATGATAAAATTTATTTCCTGGACTGTTGTCAAAATGTCATGTTGTCATCATTTTTAAAAGAAGTTAATTAACCTGGTAGCACATGGTGACGTGGTGACACTTTCAGTTATTCAAAAATATATTTTTGCTTAAATGACGTCAGGGTCAATTTCTTCAACCATTTCACTTCCTTCGTCAATGTCAATAGAAGCTTCTTCAACCTTTGGTAAGAACTTTTGTATGACATCTTTGTTCGTTATTGTCTTCAGAGATGAAGGATAATATTTCACAACTGTTTCACCTTTCTTATAGTCTTTCTGTTCGGAAAGATTCATAGCAATACTGAAGAAGTCAACGTTAGAGTTCTTTATGACAGTATAATGAGTATCTTTGACATTCACGAAGAAACTCTTTTGTTTCAAAACTACTGCTAACTCTTGTGAAGTATAACGTTTGCGGTCAATGACGATAGCTAATGGTCTGACATACTGACCAAACTTAGATTCTTTCACAAACTTCTTGTTAAAGATAACATTAACATTTGAAGCATTACTGAACTCATTCTTGATGGCATTAGCGAGAGCATTGTATGAAAAGAACTTGCAATCTTGCATGTGTTTCATTAAAATAAAAATATTAAATTATTTTGAAAAATAACTTTAAAAAATCTAATCTAATTTTTTCAAAAAAATATTTTTTATTTCCTACTAAAGATGTATCGGAAGTTGTCTAAGTTAGAACACTCGGAAATAAAACAACTTCTTACAGAAGCTAATATAGATGTTGCAAAGCATTACGCAACAAACAAAAAAGCACTCGCTGACATCCTCAATGACTATAATGGTGAAATAACTTATGATAGAATTCATGAGTTCATAAAGCCGCAACGCGGCGAGGACGAAGTCCATGCAAGAGCATTTCCTTTAAATGACGTTGCTATTGACTTATATCATAGACGTTCAGTACCTCATGAAGTAAGAAGAGAAATGTTTGACATAACAAATGCGAACGTTGGTCATACTCGTAAAGCTCTTTCGCATGATGTTCGTCAAGAGATGTTTGACATAACAAATGCAAACGTTGGTGAAACAAGAAGAAGAGAGACGTTTAAGAGCGCTATAGAACAAGTTCGCAAAGCTAACGATGTCCTTCGTTCCATTGACGACAAACCAAAAGAAGGTGAGAGATGGTTAAAGAAAGATGAAGAGAATAGGAAGAGGAATGTTAAGACAGGCAATAGACTCATTGACTTTAACATCGAAGCTTTAGATGAACCAAACAGAGACTACTTACACAAACATTTCGGTAAGGTTTTCATGAGACTCTTAGAGAAGATTAAAATAAACTCACAACAGAGATGGATGGTATGTTATAAACTTGGTGGAAAGTATGAATGTTCTACGTTAAACCTCAATAATATTGGAACATTACTACATCAGCTCTTGAAGGAGAACTTTATATCAGAGATAGAAGCAAATGCTGCAGGTATTGTTGAAATGCACTATGACTTCTTCTTGACAAACATAAAGAATCTTACTGAAATAAAGATGTATGATTTAACAGAATATGAAGGCTTAACGATGTCAGATGTAAAGAAAGGAAAGCCACAGAAGCGACCATATAGAGATGAAAGCACACTGACAGAAAGACAGAAAAGATTATTGAACAGACTTAAACAAACAGGAGATAAACAAGATATAGATGACTTCTGGAATGAAATCCTTGGTGAAAAGAAGTTTTATAAGAAGAGAAGCGGTCAGTTCTGGAAGTATCTTTGCACATTACCTATAAATCTTGAACGCTACCAAATCTTCAATGAACTGAACAAAAGAACTGCAACACTTATGACAGAAGAAGACAATTGTTTCGTTTATGCTTGCATTCAGGCTGGAGTAAATGAAGAAACTATTGACCACATGAGAGAAGTCATTCGTGTTAGAGACTTTCCTCAAAGTAAAGTACAAGAAATTTCCGATTCAACAGGTATAGCATTTAATGTTACCATTGGTTACTTCAATGACTCAAGACATAATGAAATAAAGAGATATATACCAAAAGAATGTAAAACTGTTCGAACTATTGACTTACTTCTTGTTGAAGACCACTACATGCTAAACGAAAGACTTCCAATGACAACATATTTCATTCGCAACTATATAGAAATCTTGAAGGAGTGTGGTGGAATGAACATTGAGAAACAGATGAAGATTTATACAAAGAGAGAGAACAAATATGTAGTTCGTTATGATAGAACAACACCGCTATGGGATGTTATGAAAACATTGTGGGAGTGCAAATATTTCGAACCTATTTCTTATGGAGAACTTTTCACATATACGACTGACTTATATAAACAGAACCTTGCACCATTTAAAGATTTGACATATGCTCCAAAGTATTGTGTACAACTGAAGAAGAAAGCAGAGTCAAAAGAAGTAAATAAAAATAAGTGCAAGTTCATTCCTGAGCACGTTTTCTTTGCTGACTTTGAGTGTAGTACGATGGCTTTCATAAAGCTTTTAACATATGTTACGACAGTGAAGATGGTTCAGTGAGTGAAAGCATTTGGGGTCAGAACTGTGCAACAGAATTTTTGGAACGACTTCCTGACAAGAGTTTAATATATTTCCATAACCTCAGTTATGATATAAACTTCATCTTAAGACACATGACAGAAGTGAAAGGAACTCCCATCATTAAAGGTTCACGAACAATGCAAATAACTGGCTTATATAAAGGAAGGGCAATTATTATAAAAGACTCTTACAGTGTTATAAATAAGAAGCTTAAACTATTTCCTGCTATGTTTAACTTACAAACAGGACCGAAAGAAGTATTTCCATATAACTACTACAGCAGTACTTTGTTAGCAAATGACAACAGAACTGGTGTCATTTCTGAAGCATGTAAGTTTATCCAGGATGCAGATACATTTATGAAAAACATAGATTCCATCAAAGGTTGCAGAATAGATGAAAACCACTTCGACTTAGAAAAATATAGCACATTTTATTGCAAACAAGATGTAAGAATTTTAAGAGAAGGTTTTGTAAAGTTCCGCAATGACTTATTGAAAGAGTTTGATTTAAACGTTTATGACTACGTTAGTATTTGTTCAATTGCTAACAAATTATTTGAGAACAGAGTGTACTTCCCGAATGGAAATCTTTATGACCTCTCAAATAAACCAAGAGAATTTATTTCGAGATGCATTCAAGGTGGAAGATGTATGTTGTCAGATAACATTAAACAAAAGAGCAAAAAGAAACTCATTGCTGACTTCGACGCTGTTTCATTATATCCATCAGCTATAGCAAGACTTTATACTTTAGAAGGAATTCCAAAAGTATTGAAGGATGAGATGTTAAGCACAGAGTATCTCATGAGACATTTATTCGATGACGACCAAAAGGAACCCATTGGTGAAAAGTTTATGTCTGGCTTCTTTGTTCTCATTAAGATAACAGAGATTGGAATACATAGACACTTTCCTTTAATAGTTTGTGACCCTGAACTAAATCCAGAACTTAACGTTCCCAGAAGTTCAAACACTTGCTGTTTAATGTATGTTGACCATATAACATTACAAGACCTCATAAAATATCAAGGTGTCAAATGTGAAGTGTTGCAAGGATACTATTACGATGGAAACAGAGATTTGAGAATAAGAGATGAAGTTAAGAAATTGTTTGAGTTAAGGTTAAAGTATAAGAAAGAAGGAAATCCTTTGCAAGAAAATATAAAGCTCATTCTGAACAGCATTTATGGCAAAACTATTTTATCTCCTATTGAGTCAAAAATAACCATAGTAGATGACAAAGATGCTATAAGATATGCTATAAGAAATTACAACCATATAGTGAAGTTCGAAGGTTTGAATGGTTCAGATAAAACTATTTTCAAGCTAACGAAAAGCATTTGCAGACACTTTAACTTCTGTCCACTTGGTGTTAATATTCTGTCTATGTCGAAGAGAATAATGAATGAAGTGTTTTGCACGATTGAAGACTTAGGATTAAAAGCATTTTATCAGGATACAGATTCGATGCACATTTACAATGAAGACATACCAAAGCTTGCAGCAGAGTTTAAGAAGAGATACGGTAGAGAACTTATAGGAAAGAACCTTGGTCAATTTCATTCTGACTTCGCAGAAATAACACCTGGAAAACAAAGTTTAGCATACAAGTCAATATTTTGTGGAAAGAAGACTTACATAGACTTACTCACTAACGATTTAAATGAAGTTGCATTCCATGCACGTTGCAAAGGTGTCAAACAAGACGTCCTTGCTTTAACAGCAAATGAAATGTTTCCTGAAGCTATACAATGCTATTACAATGAAGATAAGAACATTCACATACCTGTTGGAACATATGACAAAGACTCTGAGTTCAGTTTAATGAAACTTTACAAAGCACTTTATGACGGTCAAGAGATTGGATTTGACTTATGTAAGTCTGCTACACCTGCATTTGAGGAAAAGTTTAACTTCTCAATAACGACTAAAACAAGCTTTATTCGTAAGTTGAAGTTCTGAGGTCATTTATTTTTGTCAGCAATGAGGTCATTCATGATAAAAATAAGCCGCTAGCGGCAAGGGCGAAGCCCATGTGGTCATTTACAATACTGCGATGGTAGAGTTTAAGAGTTGTGCTTCAATGTAGAGACAGTCCTTATGGTCTGGAGGTAAGAACACTGGGCAGTTATGGTCATGAGTGGAGAACATGTCTATCCAAAACTCACGATTGAAGCCAGTTAATTTATAGTATTTAGGATTTGGTAATGGTGAATTTCTTGTATGACCAATGAACTCATTTTCAACTCCCTTACTTAAGTTTGAATATAATATAGCTTGCTTTCTATCCCAAATGCCAGGTGTTACAATCTTTGAAAATTCATTTTTCCTCGGAAGCATTGCATCATAATTGAAAACATTCTTGAAGTCTTCATTGGGTTCAGAGATTTGAAACCCTATACGTAATGGATTTTCTTTCTCTTTAGCTACTTCATTGAATGGTGAATATATAACAAACTGACAGTCATGAGTTCCATCTTCATTTTCATTAAATTCATAATGAAAGTCTATAAGTTGTGGCTGACTACCTTCTTCTTTCAGTTGTGCAAGAAACTCACGTAAAGGCTGTAAAGTTTGTACTTCAATGTTGAACTTTTTCTCGAACATCTCATTAAATGAAATCATACATTGTTGCAATGTTGTATCGTCTTTAAAGTATTTGTATATGTGAATGTTTTGGGCGCTTAAAGACTGTTCGTCATTTTCTATCTCGACTTGAAGTATAAAGTCAACCTTTCTGAAAGCACGTGTTATATACATAGATGTTATGCCAATGTACTTCTCTTCATTTATGTTCACAATCCAGTCTGTTGGAAACTTAAACGTTACTCTGTTCCCCTTTATTTTGACGTCAGGGTTTTCACTACTGAACGCAACAGTTAAAGGTATTTGTCTATACATTTAATTCGGATAAATATAAACCATTTACTCTTTCTTTGCTTCAGCTTCTTTAGCTTTTTGTTCTTCCTTTGCTTTTGCTTCTTCTCTAGCTTTCTTCGCCAGCAAACGTGGGTTCTTTTGTCTTCCAGCAGCTAATGCAGCAAGTTGTTTTTCACTAAGTTTTCTCTTTGGTCTCTCTGGCTTTTGTTCTTGTTTTTGTTCCTTCAGTTCGGATAAAATTTGCTCGCGAATTTCTTTCTTCAATGCTTCAACATCTATGACCCCTTGGGTCTTGTCCATATGACTTGTCTGAGTCATTTGATTGCAGATAAAAAATAAAATTAAAACTTTAACCGATGTAAAATGAGCTTGTCAAAATCAGAGCGAGAGTCTATTATATTAAATGACGCAAGAGGAATACAACATCCTTTCTATTACGTAAGTCAGAGTAAAGATGGTAAAATATATGTAAGAAAAAGAAAGGTTCCATTAGCGAATGCAGAAAGCGACAACATTAAGGTGCATGGCAAGGGTGAAGTCCACGAAGCCCATATAAAACCTTCTGTTCAAACTGAGCCACCAAAAGAACCAGAAGAAAAGAAGTCAGATGTACTTTCAATAACGAACCAAGAGCTTATTGCAAAGTTCGTGAATTTCATTGAAAAACAAACCGAGTCAAAGAACCCTGACCCACCAGTGAAAGAAGTTGAGAGAAAAGAGAATGTACAGTTCATTGAAAATGTCAAGAAACAACTTCCACCACGAATGCCAAGAAGAAGAGTGAGAATAATGAAGTAAATAGATATTTTTATCTGAAGTAAATACATGCAGAACGAACAGCTAAACGAATTTACTCCAGCAGAGCATATTCATCAGATTCGCTCATATTTCGATATCATAGACAATGCAGTTCAAATTGGTGACACTAATAGAAAATATTCTGACGCAAAGATTCCATCACAACCTGGAACTGCTAAAGATAACACATGGGTAACATTCAATCTCTCACCTCCTGGTGAAAATATGTTGGACCTTTACAATACATTCATTATGTATAAAATGGAAGGTCAATTTATTGCAGATAAAGAAATTGGTTCAGGTTCCAATAAAACAAACCCACCAGGATTTTGGATTGGTTTCGATGACGCTTTCTATGCAGTTGCTGGATATCAAATCCTTGCAAATGGTCGTATCGTATATTCTCAAGACAACGCAAGAGAAGAAGCATATATAACTTCAAACACACAAACTACCGAACAAATAAAGAAAGTAGATGTTTTCTCAAAGACTCGACATGAAGATGTATGGAGTCATTCGGGAACATGCAGAACAGGACAAATTGTTAGTGGTCCAATTACAGCAGGAAAGTCATTTGATTTTAAGCTTCGTTTAAGAATTCCTGTTAGAAGATTCCTTCCATTAGAAGCTATTCGATTTATTCCAGCTTTTGCAGGAAACATTCAGCTTAAAGTAAAGTTCAGTAGCGACGCCTTACAATGCACATCTATATCTGTAAATGATATCATTGCTTTCAATCCAACTCTTAAAGTTGCATTTGCTTCAGATTCAAATCCACCGACAAATAAATTTGTTCCATGGAATGAACCATTCACTATGATAACGAAGGCAATAGAAGCTAGTGGAACAGTTACTATTACAACTGTAACCCAGCAACTATTTCGAACAAAGATGGATTTTAATGAATGTTTCATTCATCCAAAGTCATTCTCTTTAGACCCTAACATTTATACAGAACTTGTAGAACATTATACAAACGAGGCTTTATGTTTTCCTGTTAAAGTTATGGATTGGATTCCTATGGACGGTTCATTCTCAAAGAATACAGATAGTTCACGACATGGCAACATTTACAGCAGCTTATACGCCTATTAATGTTAAAAGTATTTGGGCACTATTTAGAAAGAAAGACAACTATTATGTTAATTTTGAGAACCCTAAGTTTAAATATCTTCAGCTTTCCATGGGAGCTTATGGAAATATGCCTGCAGAACCTGAAAAATCATATGGACCTGTATTTTATGAAATGGTTGCGAACGCTTGCAATACAAACAATGATATGATGGATTTAATGAAGATGTTATGAGGTCATTGGTGGATGATGGTAGTGTGGAACATAAATGGGATAGCTATGACAACACACATTTCTTATGTGGTTTTCCAACAGAAGTGGACTTTTGCTTCCAGCAAGGTCAAACATCTACTGCTCCAATAACATACAAATTGTCTGTTAAAGGACCTATTGAACTAGCAACTGAAAATGTACCAAAGCCACTTATTGGATTTATGAGGGATTGTTGCTTTGCCATTCAGGTGCGTGCTAATGGCATCCCCATAATAAGATTAGATGACTATAACTTAGCTACGGACGACAGTGAGGAATAAAGGATGAACGTTTATTTTTAAAGCTTATAAATGAGTTCTTCATCAAGCTCTCGTGAACCTTCACCATCTATGAAACAAACTTTACCAAACGATTATGGAGCACCTATTGAATATTTCTTGCGAGCTGCACAATGGCAAAGAGCAGTCTCACCAAGGTTAGGTGTTCCACCAGCTCCTGTCAAAAATAGCATTTGGTCAAGTCCTTATATAAATATGGTCTCCCACTAGGTTTGCTAGCTACAGCAGGAGCAGTTATGATGTTGAAAAGAAATAAAGCAAATGTTGTAAATAATACTGAAGTAGCTGAAGTTAAACAAACTCCAACACCTTCACAAGCAAAACCTTCAATGACTCCTGAACCTATGGAAGTACAAACTCCTGTTCAAAAGTCAACTCCTAAACCGACTCCAACATTTAAACCAGAACCTACTCCTCAAATAAATCGTAAAACTCCTGCGTTTCCTTACTGAAAAATAACGTTATTTTTATTTAATATTAAAATTTTTATTTGATTGAAATGACAAATAAAGTCACTGAAGCAATGAAACAAAAGTTCTTGGTAGAATACATTAAATCAGGAACTATTCCAGAAGGTTTTTACATTCATACTATGAAGGATGGTAGAGTTCAGTTTAGAAAGATAAAGCAACCATTAGATAAAGAAGGAATTTTGAGAAAGATTAAACTTCATGAGGACAACATTGCTGAACTTAGGAAGAAGTTAGAAGAGTTGGAGAAAGGAAGAGAGTTATAAAGCAATGAATTCAACAGGGTGAAAAAACAGGTGAAAAAAGAGGTGAGATCTCACCACTTCACCTAAATTTATTTTTGTGCTATGTTTTCATACGTGTGAGGGTGGTGATATCATTAATTTTTAAGTTTATTTTTTATTTTATTTTTATATAAATGACGAAAACTATTGAGATAACAAACTACAACGGTCATGAGTTCAAGAATTTGTTCTTCGTTCCTCGTGAAAATACATTCTATCAGATACGAGGGAGAAAGGGTAAAGTTAGTTTGAGCGTTTATGAAGGAATGAAGAATGGAAAGTTTATACAAGCATACGATACAAACGGTAAGCGTGTTTCATTAGCTTTGTCAAAACTTACTAACATTTATTTTGACAGTGACTTTGACTCTGACGATTGGAGCGACAGCAGCGATACTGAAGAATATGAACTATTGTGTGAAGCACAGCAATGGGAAGAGTTGCAATACTTTTGTAAGTGAGAACGTTTATTTTTTACAGTAGTGAGGTGAAGTGGTTGGCGGCTTTATAAATATTTAAGGTTAAGTTGGTGTTTGTGTTTGTGTTGTAAAATATACGTTAACGGTTTTGTAAAGTGTCAAATTCACATATCATGGGTAAGGAGGCTCGCAGTGCCTCAGTACACAAGATAGGTATACTAACTATAATAACTTATATTTTCAAGTTCATCGAAAGAGATCGAAAAGCAAACGTTCCACATCTACAGAGAAAAAGAATTGATATATGAAGTCTAATTCCTTTTATAACTACTATATTTTTATTCTTATGACTAAAAAATAATATATTATTTAACAATTTTCATTTTTTTCTTTTAACAATTTCGTTTTATTTCCATTTATTGTTAAATGATTTTTAGCATACACCTTTCTTTGTTCATCTTCTAAATACAATTTATTTTTTCTTAGATATAATTCTATTCATTCAATTCGATCGTCATTTTTCAGTACATGATCGTAATTTTCAATTATTGATCGCGATTTTACTTCAGAATTTGTTCGCAATATTGCTTATCAAAATTATATCTCTATTCTCTCATTTCTGTTTAGTCAATATCATTACACTCCTATTGTCTAATAACATGCTATTAATTTTCTTAAAATTAAAAAAAAAAATATCAACTTTTAAAAACAGAAACTTAACATCCTTAGGTCAATGGATTTTGATGTGAGATACATTTAATCTGTTTTTCTTTTTTTATTTTAAATAATTGAATATTTATAGTTGTTATGGGTCTTACATCATGTAAAACGAATTTTCTTAAAGTAAATTTACTTTTTCTTCAATCTTTCTTACATATTTATTAAAAAAAAAATTATCCAAAAAAAGATGTTTTAGAATGAAAAAAAATAGAAAAATCTTCATTTATAGTCTTTCTTGAATGTATACGTTTTGATTTTTTTCTTTTTTAAAAAATTCAATTTCTAGAAAAATCGAGAAAAAATCATTTTCTTCTATTTTTTTAGGACGCCATACCCATTGAAATCTCTTCTCAGGACGCCATAAACTATTCAATTATGGTGTAAACTTCTCAAAAATTGAATAGTTTACATCAGGACGCCTTAGGACGCCAACCCTTTACGCGCCCGAATTTGATCTTAATTTTTTTTGAAAAATATACTTTTAGAAAAAGAAATAGTGATTGAATAGCTGCCCATGCTGTAAAAGGGTTATTTTTACAAGTAAAAAAATTGTTATTTTTCGAGCAAGTCGAGGCTTTTTTACCATCATATTTTTGAAAAATTTACGAAAAATTATATCTGAAAAAACGCTTCATTTTGATATCTTACAATGATAAAATACCAATGTTGCTGGGATATAATAGCTACACCTGGACATCTACTACATTAATGCGTATGACAGGTAAAGTTGATTTCAAAAGTATAGCCTGGAAAGATTACAATAAATCAACGATAATTCAAAAAAATTTCTTATAAGTTAACATAATAAAAATTTAATTTTTATATTGCTTGTATTATACTTAAGTATATAATATATTTAAATCTTAGAATGAAAATTCGGGACGCCCTAGCTATTCAATTTTCCCTTAGGACGCCCATAAACCTCTCAAAAATGTGATGTAAATATCACAATTTTGAGAAATTTACACTAGGACGCCTTAGGACGCCAACCCCCTTTTTTACCGTAATAGTCACCTTGGATCAATGAGGGTGTAGCAATTTATGATCTCATACTATAGAAATGATGATTCACAAACTCTAGCAAAATTAAAAATGTATATTGATTAATTGGAGTTGAATATTTAATTGTTTAGCAATTTTTATCTGCAGTTAGTCTGTGTAGCATCTAAGCTTTGATAGGATTGATTCATCAAGATTTTTATTTGCATTCTTCCAAAAAAAACGGTTTATTATATTTTATTGTATTATTTTAATTCCTTGTATCTGGTATTGCCAATGTTTAGTTTTTTTATAAAACATTTCAAAATTGAATGTCATTTTTCATTTTATATAAAAATGGAGGCAGCTATTCAACAAGCTTATGACGAAATTGAGAAATTTGTTTTGCAGCCAGATTTCTGGGTTAAAATCAACTCAAGCGATCAAGATATTCTCGATAAACTCAGAGAACCAGCTTATTTAATGGCTTTGATCGATTTCATCAGTGTTGAAGATCATTATCACTCAGCAAAGAAGTTTGGAAAATTCTTCCAGTCTGCTGATGCATCATTTACTGAAATTTTTGCAACAAATCTTCAAGTTGCAAACCATGCAATTGAATCAATTAAAAAGTGCAAGAATTATTCAATGGCACTTGGAGTTATCGGTCAAATTTTCAGTAGATGCATCTGCAGCCTTCCAGAAGCTATCTCAGATTTATTCAGAGTGTCATCAACAGTTATTCCAACAATTGTTGAAATGATTCAATACGAAAATATCTATAACATTGTTTACGATGAAGTTTCTATGTCTCAATACAAAGGAATTCCCCATTTCTTCTGGAATTTAATCAGAATTCTCGTTGGCAAGGATAAAATGGAAAATCTTGAGAGTTATATTCCAGAATACTTCAAGCTGTTCCGCGAGCCCGAATTTCCACTTCCAACATTGAGCACAGTACAAAGAAACAATTTAATTGCCATCTTGAAGCTCTTCTGCCAGAATTCAATGCACAATGGATTAATACCATTCGAGGTTGGTCTAAACTGCCATACGCTTTGCGGTTTTCTTACTCAATACATTATAACAGAAATGAACCAAGATTTGCTTGCTGCATTGCCTCTTATCGATCTAGCATACACTTTAGTTGAATCTAAGGAAATTGAGATGGTTGTTTTGTCACATGTCGTTAAAATGGTCAAAGAACAGAAAATCGACCTTCTTCCAATCAAATACCTTTCCAAATACAACTCATTCATCCCATTAAATGAAATAATCCCATTATTCCAATATATTTCCGTTACAAACATCCCGAATATTCCGTTAAATTTGATGTTAAAGTTATTCAAAGCCATCGCTCAGAACTGCAACGATCCTGCCTTTGCCACACAAGTATACGACATAATCAAGCAACAATGGGATGATTCTTCGAGATTGAAGAAAATATTTTATATAACTGTCATTGCTTCATTCAATACTGCAATTGGCGAGCCAATATTTAATAAAAAGCTTATTGCTGAGCTCGTTATTCCATTTACTTCAGTTGAAAAGACTCCAAATCTTCCAAACTGGACAATTACAGCTGCCGACCTCTAGATTTGCAATATACTGTTTGCTAAAGCAACAAATTGTATAAATCAATGATTTTATTTCTTAATTTTTAGTCATGAATTTTTATTTCTAAAATAATCAATCAGAAATTAATATTTTTTTATATGCAAATGTATTATAAAGGATAAAAGAACACTCATTCATTTTAGAATCTCGGATCTACATAGCTTTTATTACATTCCAAAAAATAATGTTATTCCATGAAAAATTGTGTATAATAGAATGATTGTATGCTTCCCTTCAATATGTTGCGATATTTAGAAAATTTGTAATTTGTATTATATTTAATGGAAACCTATATTACAGATATCTATTAATGCAAAGTGTGAAATTTACTGTTCATATGTCTTTGAAAGCTTTTTAAAACACTGACTTGATCAAGATTCTTGTATTACACAGAGAAAGCAATTAATTAGTTGATTATGTAATTTTTTGCCATGTAAATTCAAAAAAAGTGCACGTTTAGAATACTTGATGGCCATCCAAGAACCCACATGTACTAGTATTCACGGTTATCAAGTAAGTTTTCCTTATCGTCCATATGATGTTCAACTTAATTATATGGACAAAACGATTGATGCTTGCGAAAATGGAAAATTCGCTCTTCTTGAATCGCCAACAGGTACAGGAAAAACTCTATCCTTACTCTGTTCTACATTAGCATGGAAAGAACAAACACACTATAGATGCCAAATTGTATATTCTTCAAGAACTCACTCTCAATTATCTAATGTTATTGAAGAACTGAAAAAAACACGTTTCAAACCAAGAGTTGCTCATATAGCCTCAAGGAAAATGTTATGCATCAATCATACTATTAATAAATACGATAATTTCTTAATTACAAGATTATGTCATAATCTTCGAAGTAAAAAGCAATGTCCATATGGTATTGATGAAAATTTGATGAGTAACTCTAACGAAGTTCTTACGGCATGCTCAGATATAGAAGAGTACATTGAAAATTGCGCGAATCATATGATTTGTCCATATTTCGCAGCACAAATCAATTCAGAGCAAGCAGATTTGATTCTTACTCCTTACACATATATCGTTGATCCAAACGTTCGTCAGTTTCTACCATCAACAACGTTAGTTGGAAACGTATTAATATTTGATGAAGCGCACAACTTTGCGGATACATGTTCTGAAGCTTATTCTGCAAAGATCTACTTCAAGAGTTTCAATGATGCTGCATTAACTCTCATGAAAATCGAGCCAAACAGATTTTCAAACGCAACAAGGAATTCTAAGGCAAAAGTTAACGGAAATGATTTACTTTCTACACGAGCAATACTCATGAATATCTTTCAGAAGTGTGATACACTCGAAAACACTGATTATGAATATAAAACTGCTTGTGAATCTGTTTCAAGTTCTGCAAAATCGGTTTTATATGTTAAGAAAACCGCTGAACAATTATATGCTTTCTTCCGTGATGCTGGGTTAACCAAAGAGAATTCAAGACTCGTTTATTCTGTTTTAGATTTAGTTGTTCAAAAAGGTGACGAACTTCAAATCCTTAACAACGAATTTGGCTCAATGCAGAGTATTATGTCTTTCATAGATTTGATATTTCCAAACGCTACAGAAGCAGTAGAGATGTTCGACAGCAAATTTTCAATTCTTTTTACAACGAATAGAACAATTTCAATTATTTGTTTTTCTCCATCGATTGCTATGAAAAAAGTAGCCGATTTCCTTCCAAAAACGATGATCTTGACATCAGGAACTCTTTCTCCACTTTCTTCTCTTGAAGATGAACTAGAATATAAATTCCCAATCAAGTTGGAATGTAATCACATTGTTAGTCCTGATAATTTTCTTGTTGCAATTGCAAATTCTGGAATTTCCGGCCAAAGATTCAACTTCACATACCAAAATAGGAGAGGAAACAATAGACTTGAATCAGAACTGGTTGATTCAGTCACTGATGTCTTCAAAGTTTCTCCTTCAGGAGCTCTTCTCTTTTTCCCGTCGTTTTCTTACATGGATGAAGTCAGCAGAAGTATTTCATCGAACGCTTCTCGTGTTAAAAGAATCTACATCGAAGCGAAAGATGCTGTTAAACAGGCAACAGTTCTCGAGAATTACAAGCGCGATGCAATGAAAGGAGCAGCACTTCTGGCTGTTTGCAGAGGCCGATCAAGTGAAGGTTTAGATTTTGTTGACGATTTCGCGAGGTTTGTTGGTGTTGTTGGAATTCCTTATCCTACTTTCACTGATTATACAGTTGAGCTCAAAAGAGAATGGCTTGAGAACAAGAAGCCTGGAAAAGGCTTGAAATGGTATACAGAATGCGCTGTCAGAGCTGTCAATCAATCAATTGGAAGAGCCATTAGACATATTGATGATTATGCTGCAATTGTTTTATTCGATGAGAGATTTACAGGTCTTAAAGATCAATTATCAAAGTGGATGCAACAATCTATATATGTTTATGATGATTGGAGCACTTTAACAACTGAAATTGATCAGTTCTTTAGAGCCAAAAAAGAAGGATTTCTCATGAAAAGAAAAGGAAGATCAGCAACTCAATCACAAAGAACAGTTACTTTCTCGCAATCTGCAGATTCTGATGATTTCTCGCAAAGCCAAATGTCTCAAGCATCGCAGCAGGAAAGCTTCTTCCAACTCAGCCAGCAATCAACCATCAAAAAGAAAGAAGAATCGAAACCAAAGCCACTGGTTTATTTGAAACAAAATAAAAAGGTCGAAAAGTCTCCTTCCAATAATTCTCTCACTGAATTACTCAGCCAAAGGAAAGATAGCGAAAGGTCTTCATCAAATAACTCACTTAGCCAATTACTCAGCCAAAGGAAATCTAGTGATAAACCTGAGAAAGAAAAAATATCTCGATCGAAATCTGATGTGGTAACTGAGAAACCTAGTCTTCTCACGGGTTTGTTAACTTCTGGAAAGAAACATAAAATAGAATCCGAACCAAAACCTGTTTCTATTCTCAAACCAAAGGAAAAGAAAGAACCTTCACCACCTGAAGAAATCAAGATTGTTTGCGTAAATTGCAAAGAAGATAAAAAGAAAAATTTAAGCAAAATGCATTGTGGACACTATATTTGTTCTGAATGTAAGCAGTTCTTCAAAATGCTTAACATGAAATGCCCAATTTGCAAAAAATAGAGTTATATATTAATGTTTGTATAAAAATATAAAATTATATTTTCTTATTTTTATCAGTTTTTGTCATAATTATACTGTAGTACGTTTCTTGTAGTTGTAAATAGGCATATCATATATAGAAATTCGAGATTTCAAAATATTATAATTTTTTTAAACTATATTTGTAAAAGACAATACCTTAAAAGTATTAATATCTCTTGTTGATACTTTGTAAGTATGATTGAAGTAATGAAAATAATGTAAAGTTTAAACATACAATATTTTATTTAGCTGGAATGTTCATTTTAATGCCAAAGCGCTTATCCTGAGCATTTTCTTCTGCAAGACGAGACAATGCTACATCAGTTTGCGTCTCAAAGATCAATCCTCCATTGATCAAAGAATCAAGAACTTGTAAAGCTTTGTCTGGGTTGAAAGCCAGTTGAACTTCAGAGACATCCTTGAAGCATCCATTAAGAACTTCAACAAATGTATGAATAATATCCAACATAGCTAATGGATTTTCGCATTCATCAACAACTGTGATAACGAATAAGGAAGCGTATGCACGATAGACAATAGATACCTTACGTTGAAATTCGTAGCTTGTAATACCATCTCCAGGAAGAATGTTGCAAAGATTTGAAGCACGAGTGGAAACCATGCGAAAAACTTCATGAGCGAGGCGGTTTCTTGTCTCTTGACTCACCTCTACATAAGCACGAGCAAGGCGAATATCACCGTTCTCGTTAATGACGAAAAATCCGTAGATCATTCTGATAAATTTTTTTTTCTTGACATGTAATTTTTGATTCTCGATGAAAATCACAGATAATTTATACGATATGGCTTTTGATTGGTTGTACAAGATATCACTATGAATAGAATATCTCAATTCACTATTTATAGATCAAATTTCATTGTATAACTTATCAATTATATTGCTTCGACTTTACTATTGTCATTGTGTCATTTCATACTATTAAAGTAATCAAAAGCTATAAATTTTATCCGAAATCTTTGAATTTATAGTTTTTCATAGGTATATAATGGACTTTTTCCTTAGTGAATTACAAAGATGTCTAATATGGTAAAATGAAAATGCATTGTTTTAAAAAAATTTTAATGTCTGATCAAGACGTTATTCCAAATAAATACAGTGAATTGCGAAGTACCTACAAATACTACATCGATATATATCGTGAGTTATATCGCATGAAAACGGAAGATGAAAAAGAAATAAACTTAATTTACAAAAAGATCAAAACAGAAATGATTGATTCAAAGATATTTCACCCCACAAATATTATAAGAGACATTTCATATCTCTTTTTGTATAATAATCGCTATACAAAGTCATATTTAGCTCTTGCCAAACTCATATCTGATGAATATCATGTAAAAGAGGTTCTAAACATTCATAGTAATTTTAACTACCTATTTTATAAAGAATATGGAATTAAATTAAACCAATTCAATGATTTTAAAAAATTTAAATCAGAAAATCTTAATATTCATACAGAAAATACAATTTACGGAGCAATTATGTATAATGACAAAGAATCATTCATTTCGTTCACAGAAAGAGAAGGATTTAATCAAAATCAACAACTAGAAAGTATATTTTATCCATATAAAGGAGTACAATTACTTGAATTATGTTGTTACCATGGTGCAGTTGACTGTTTCAAATTCCTAATGACGAAATTTAAATCAAAAATAACTGATTGTTGCGTAAATTTTTCATTTTTAGGAGGAAATCCAGAAATCATGAGTGAATGTTTGAAATATCAGATACCATATTATGAAACCATGGAATATGCAATAATTTCTCACAACATTGATTTTCTTACATTCTTGATGAATGAATACAATATAGAAATAAATTTACATTTGTGCGGAATTTATAATAATTTGGATGCGTTTTTAGTTTATTTCGATCAAACTAATGATATTGACAAATGTTTTATTTATTCAACTATGTTTGGTATTCCATCCATTTGTGAATATTTCCTTTCACATGGTGCAAATATTAATGCAAAAGATCAATATGGAATTACCGCTCTTCTTCTTGCAGCAGAATGTAATAGAAAAGAAATAGCTGAATTTCTGATTTCTCATGGAGCAAATATCAATGAAAAATATAAATATGGATATACCGCTCTTCATAAAACAGCAGAAAATAATAATAAAGATACAGCCGAACTTCTTATTTCATATGGTGCAAATATCAATGAAATAGGCAATGATGGAAAAACCGCTCTTCATAAAGCAGCAGAAAATAATAGTAAAGAAACAGTCGAAGTTCTTCTTTCACATGGTGTAAATATCAATGAAAAAGATAAATATGGATATACCGCTCTTCATTATGCAGCATATCATAATTATAAAGAAATAGCTGAACTTCTTCCTTCACATGGTGCAAATGTCAATGAAAAAGATAAAGGTGGACATGCCGCTCTTCATTGTGCAACATTGCATAATAGTAAAGATATAGTTGAACTTCTTCTTTCACATGGTGCAAATATCAATGAAATAGGCAATGATGGAAAAACCGCTCTTCATAAAGCAGCAGAAAATAATAGTAAAGAAACAGTCGAAGTTCTTCTTTCACATGGTGCAAATATCAATGAAAAAGATTGTATTGGATATACCGCTCTTCATTATGCAGCATATTATAATTATAAAGAAATAGCTGAACTTCTTCTTTCACATGGTGCAAATATCAATGAAAAAGATCAATATGGATATGCCGCTCTTCATTGTGCAACATTGCATAATAGTAAAGATATAGTTGAACTTCTTCTTTCACATGGTGCAAATATCAATGAAAAAGGTAACTGTGGAAAAACCGCTCTTTATAATGCAGTATGTTCTAATGACAAAGAATTTATCGAACTTTTTCTTTTACATGGTGCAAATATCAATGAAAAAGCTGAAGATGGAAGAACCGCTCTTCATGAAGCAGCATATCATAATTATAAAGAAATAGCTGAACTTCTTCTTTCACATGGTGCAAATATCAATGAAAAAGATAAATGTGGATATACCGCTCTTCATGTTGCAGCATTGTGTAATAAGAAAGAAATTACCGAACTTCTTCTTTCACATGGTGTAAATATCAATGAAAAAGATAATAAAAGACAAACCCCTCTTCATATTGCAGCACGTTATAATAGTAAAGAAATAGCCGAACTTCTTCTTTCACATGGTGCAAATATCAATGAAAAAGATTGTACTGGATTTACCGCTCTTCATTGTGCAACATTGAGTAACAGCAAAGAAACAGTAGAAGTTCTTCTTTCACATGGTGCAAATATCAATGAAAAAGATGTTTTTGGAAACACAGCTCTTCATTACGCAGCATATTTTTATAAAAAAGAAATAGCCCAAATTCTTATTTCACATGGAGCAAGTATCGATAAAAAAGATGAAGTTGGTAAAAACCGCGATTCATACTGCAGTATTCTTTAAGGATGTCGCTTTGCGAAAAAACGAATGTGTATGCATGATATTTCAATTGAAAGAAGAGAGGGAGAGTGAAGAAGATATATTGATATTATGTCAATGTATCAGAAAGTATTATGTCTACCCTTAAGGATGGAGTCTCACACGCATGACCAAAGTTACATGAGATAAAATTAATATTGGAAGCATCTATGATATCCAAACATGTGTATTTATATATAGTTCTTTCTTAACTTTTATACTATCTATTCGTTGTTATTATAATAAATAAATCCATATAGATAATCTCTTATTTATTATATCATGTTCATTTTTTTAATTTTTTTGCAAATAAAGTTTCACTATGGTGAAAGAAACAAGATTCATTTGATTGGTGCATTAAGAAAGAGAATATGATATTGTACTTCTCACATATTATGAAAATGCCGGGTCACGAAAATTGGCCAAAATGCAATTTCGATTTCCTCAAAAAATTCTTTATTTTCTAATTCTGTCTGCAACATTTGATAGCACTTCTAAAGTGGAATGTTTCATCCTGATATCATTTTACGTTTACTATTATTCATTATGCTATTTTCTATGCATTTTTCCAAAAAATGAAAATGGCTAATTTTTGCAAAATCTCAACTTTGTTGAGCTGTTATCTCCACCAAAAACAAATTAAGCAGTAACATTATATGGATAAATATGTTCGGCATACTATGTACTATATATTCTACAGCGACAATTATAGTCATATCTGTAATGGCCAAAAGGTATCTCGATTGCGAAATTTCGAAAATCATCCTTTTCTAAATCTCAAACCTAAACTTTCTTTTATATAATGTGCTTGTTCGTTCTTCTGAATTTGAAGCTCTTAAACCTATAATTCATCGAGTTATTTCATTTTTTTGCTTGACTTGAAGGGAAAAAGTCTACAAATGAAGGAATATAAACCTAGGCAAAGCAGTACAATTCTAGATTACAACATGTATTGTTACTATATTCAATCTTATATCCTTTTAGGCAACTTCAAATTTAATTAGTAATAAAGGTGCAATATCATGCCAATTATCAAATGGTAAAAATTTAAAATAATGTATTAAAGGTATGTGAATGATAAAATAAAAAAAATCACATAAATAAAATCATAATTTCGTTAACACTCTAAAACATAAGAAATTGTCACCTCCTTTGAAGAAACATTTTATTCTTTTATATTTTATAACTTTTTTTGAATAAACAATAAAATTTTTTAAAATTAGATTATATAATCTACTAAAATTTTTATTTTTCTCTTCGAGTTTTTCAAAACTTGCAGATCTTAAGATACCAGTTATTTTGGTATATTATCAACTTTCTGCATTTCACACTCGTTGAAATAGGAGCATCATATCAAAAAAATGCCATGTAGCATAAGTCGATGTCATTGCATATGTATACATGTCATATTAATAATTAAATGCATCAACAACATATTAGAGGATATACCCTTATATCTCTTCTTAGTTAGGTTGTTATATCTTTATCTTGTGCTGAGATAATAACAAAGTTTTTATTCATGTACCCGTGAGACCCCATCCTTAATGGTGTATATACCATTTTCTGACACACTATTAAGGGTGCACCCGCATGTACGTTTATTTGAGAGTAGGAGGATTACCCTCTCAATTTTGAACGCTTCGTTAGCGCAATATCTCGATGAATATTGTATTAAAATTGAATTTGCCCATACCAATATATCTGATACAATATCCTTAAGTTTTACTAAAAAGAATTTTTTAAAATCCCTGCAGATTCGGGGATTTTTAAATTTTTTGATTTTTTTCGCAAATTTTTCGAAAAAAAAATATTTTCAGAAGAGCCTTAACGGCTAAGTTTTATGTTTAATGTTGAGTATCAAAAAGAATGGGCGTCTGATATAGCCATCATATATCCCAGAAGCAAATAAAAATTCTGACTTTTTAAGCATAAAAAAATGAAATTTTATTTTTTGCAAAAAACAGGCCACCCGGATGTACGTTTATTTGAGAGGAGGAGGATTAAATTTTTGAAAGCAGTAAAATTTGTAAATATTCTAGTTATATAATAATATGTATTATTTTAAAAAATAAAAAATTAAAGCACGTTAAAAATTTTTTTGATGAATTTTTACAAAAGCTACTTAGGATTATGCAAAATATAGTAATTAAACATAAATTTCAAATCAGATTTTACTTATGATAAATATTTTAAATTTCCGAAAATTAAGTTCAGATCGACTCGATACGTTGTAATTACTAAATAAGGTGCCAAAAACCTATTAAACAGTATCAAAACTATCAAGATTGTAATGTTTTTGAAGAAAAATTTATAGAATTATGAACTTCAAACAGATATTATGTAAATAAAAATAATATAATGGATTTGTTTATTCGTATAATAGCAGCAATAAGTCGATTATTCACTTCTACTTCTGAGATTTGAATTTAATTTCGACAGAAAAAGAGATTCAAGAGGAAAATACTAGGGGATACAAACTGCCACCATGACAGGATTATTATGGAGCCAAGTTGTATTTTTTGATATTTTTAGAGTTTTCCTACCTATTTAGGTACCAAGTAATTGCTTAAAAATTAAGGTTCTAAATTCTGAAGTTTACATGATCCTCCTGGGCGCACCCTTAATGTTTTGGCAAAAGTTGTTCAAATCATAAATTTCTTGAAGATATGTTATAAAATCTGACTTGTAATAGCATGATCATATAAAATAATAAATAGAAAAAGAAAAAAAACTGCTTATTTTGCAGTGAAATCTATTTCACTAATTAGAGCGTGTCAAATAATTGAGAGAATGTCAGAAAGTAGGAAGTTCCCCTTTAAGGGTGCACTTACCACTTTCTGACATGCTATGAAAAAAAATCAATATATCTCTATTTTAATAGCAGAAAAAGTATAGCAGCTATACTAGGTACAATATAGTGATTTATATTTACTTTCTCCCGACCAAAAATATTAACTTTTGACCTTACAACATTGGGATAGAAAGCTTGTGTGTCAAAAAAAAAATTGAGAGAATGTCAGAAAGTAGGAAGTTCCCCCTTAAATATTTTTTTTAATACTAACAAAAAAATTTTTTTATTTATCAATAATTTCTGAAAGAAAATCGATTACTTCTTCCGCACTTGGTCTGTCTTCTGGCTCTTCCTCGATCATGTGGCAAATGAGTTCCTTCAGTTTCGGAATGTCAGGGAAATCGTCTGGGAAAACACGGTTCTTTCTAAGGTTAACCATGGTCTTGATATGCTCCATCTTTGTCTTTGGCCTGACAAATAAGTCGAACATTGTCAAACCAAGGCTGTAGATGTCGCTTTTATCTGAAATCTTTGTAGAATCGTAATGTTCTGGAGAAGCGTAGAGTTCGGTTGAACTTTCCATTGCTATCTCGTTGATAGAGTCTGTATTGATGGAAATACCGAAATCGGCGATCTTTGGTTCACCATCCATTCCAATGAGGATATTTGATGGTTTTATGTCTCTGTGAACTATACCCATCTGATGTATGTAAGCTAGACCTTCAGCTACATCCCTCGCCTTTGCTAAAACTGAAATAGGTTCAATGGATTGACATAACTTTGAAACTGGCATTTTTGAGCAGAGCTCCATCTGGATATAGAAGGAGCAGTGTATCTTACCACCTTTCCTCTTAGATATCTTGCCTTTGTGGTCTTCTGAGTACTCAATCGGAAGAATATTCGAATCAGAAATATCGAATTCAACCCAAGGTGCATAGTATCTAACTACATTCTTGTGGTTGATCTTTGCCATGATTTTTGTCTCGTTAAACAAAGAATCGCATTCTTCAGGATCATAATCGATTGTAATTTTCTTTACAGCGTATATATGCTTGTCGACAAGGTGTAGAACGGAATACACTTCACAGTTCAATCCCTCACCGATTTTTTCCAAGATTTGGTATTCTCTTTGGAATCTACTTGGGAAAAATCCACTAGTCGCTGTTATAATATTTTCTTTGAGTTTTTTCATGTATTGCCATTTGAACATCTCTTGAATGAGGCTCTTAAAGAGATCTTCGGATGATTCTGGTGAAACTAGATGGCAGAATTCATGGAGATGTCGAAGACCATCTTCAGCTTGGCTTCTAGCAGCGAAATCATTGGTGACAAGCATATTATTGCATAGTAAACAATGACAATCACTCGCTGCAGTCATGAAATTCTGTCACTTTTATATTCGTTTGTTCAGAGCACTTTTTAGCAATCAAATTCTAAATTTTTATCAAATATTGTTTTCCACAAATTTTGATATTCACTATTAGTACATTATAATTTGCAAGTCTAAAAATATAAAAACTTTTCGGAAAAAATTAATTGTCGTATTTATTAATTTTTCTGCGTGCTCTATTTTCTCTCAATTTTTTGATTGAATGGGAATTTTTATTTAGCCAGGAGAATAAATTTTCCCGATTGTTTTTTATACTGAAACAATACGATTAGATATCGTTGTACCGATGTAAAATGGATTTTTTAATGATGTCTTTTGGGAAAAGAGTTTTTGAAGATTATTTTTTTTCGATTCTGATTTGATTCCGTTTAACAATAACATTTTTGTGTCATTTCTTGAGTTAACTAGTTTCAGAAACATATTTCTAGATTTGAATGTTATTTGATTAAATCCATGAAAAAAAGTTTGATTTCATGTTGTCATTGAGTAAAATTCATATGAGTTTGTCACTCATAAGCAACTAACCTCTGGTTTTGTTTTCATTTTTCATTATGTCTGTAATTTCAAAGGAACTTGATGAAGATCAAATAGAAATTCAAGCAAATTCAGTTAGGTCTGCAATATCAGAACTAGTAAACATGTGTGTTTATTCATTAAATGAGGCCTTTGCAAGTCAAGATAAAATCCGAAAAAACATTACAAATCTCGAGCAGCTTCTAAATTCAATCACTCACATGCCTGATGCTCCAAACTTCCAATCTGGAATTGAAAATATAAACAGACTTAAAGCTCGCGTTGGAGAACTTCAAAAAAGGATTCATGCATTAGACGCCCGTTTCTCTGATCTAGAGAAAAATATAGTTCAGTGATTGAATTTAATTTCAAGAATATACCTTACAAATTCAATGAAATAATTACATGTAATTTATTCCAGATAGATCATAAGCATGAATATCAATGGCAAATGGTACATGATGTCACTGAAATGTCTTGCCAGTACTTTAAGAAATTTAATTTTTTTTAAGAATTCATTGAACTTTACTACGAATATTTTGTTTGAATTACGAACTTTTACGAATAAAAAATCATATTGTTTTAAATTTCTTTCTTTCTTTTAAGGAATTTCATCATAAATCTTGTATAAAAAGACTATTTCCATAATATGATCAATAAATGTCATTATATTGATGGATGACATCGACCACCGATGATAATGATCAAATTCAAGCACAGTAAAAATTCCAAAAAAAATTCAAAATTTATAAAATGAAAATAAAAATTTCATTTTTTACCCCATTTTTCTATTTTTGAAATTTTTTTGAAATAAAAAGTGTTTTATAATAGATTTTAACTTACATGATAAACCTAAATTATGGTAATTTTCATATTTTATTTGATATTTTTTTAATTTATAAGATTGTTTTTAGATCATTCCTCTCGAAATCATTCAGTTTATCATCAAAAATTCGAATGTTTACATTTAATATCAACTAGATCATGAATTATTTAATTTTTTATAAACTTTTTGTTCGATCTCAACTTTAAAAAGCAACAAATAGTAATTTCTTGAAAATAAAATCATTTATATTTATTACAAACATAATAATTCCAACAACCAACAAAATATTTATCTAAAATCGTCTGTTGAGCCATCGCTATCCGTGGTTGGTACAACCTGGGCTTGTCCACGCTCACTAATCATCTTAGTCTTGCAAGCAATGCTTTGTTTCGTTGTATCAACGATCATTCTCAAGATTGCAAGCATTTTCTTCTTCTGTTGAGCTCTGTAAACTTCTGTATTTGCTTTAATCTTTTCCAAAGCTATGGCAGCAGCACCAGCTTCAGCTGAATCAATTTCATCGACTTTTTCTCCACGAATTATCTTTGCAGACTTCTCTTCGCCGAGAACTTCCGTAGCTTTGTAAACTATTCGCATTTCTTTGTTCTTTTTAAGTACTTCGTCCCTGATTAATTCTTTTGGTTGAGCAAACTCTTTGTAAGATATCAGAGGTGGTTTTTCAAATTCGAAAGCTGTAATAGGATACATAGCAACTTGTTGGGCGCAGTCTTCTGGTGTTCTTGTTGAAACAAGGTCGGATATCGCTTGCCAGTTGTTCGATGGTATGTCAGGGTTCCTATTTAGCTCTTTAAGAACCTCATTCATCCTATTGTTCTCGTCAAGGGTCCAGTTTCCAAGGTGCATAATCGAAGAAACTTCAGCAACTTTTCTGCTGCGCTCTGGAGTGAAGTAGGGAGCACACATAAGGGAGAATGGCTGAATCGGATTGGGAGGAATGTTAGGCGTTGGGTTGATTTTAGAATCATAAGTTGATTCTGACATAATCGTGTCGTCATGGGTATAAAGAAGGTGCGGCCAGTTAGTTGCATCTGGAACTATACACTGAGGTCTTGTATTTGGCTTGCAGGCGTAATTAATAAGACCATGATCAGTTAAAAATTTCCAAACGGCATAGGTGAAATTGATTGGTGCCTTTATATTTCTACGGTATAATGTGAATGGAACATATCGATTGCTGAATATTTGTGATATAGCAACCATGAAATTGCGGACATCTTTGTAAATTGGATTGGCTGCAAAAGGAAATTGCTTTTCGTAATCTGAGATTGTTGCAAAATCGAAAAATTGTCCTCTTGGAGGAATTGGAACTGGTTCAGGTGGTTTTACTTGATTAATTGCTTTAATTGTTGAAACAAACTCATAAGTTGCATCAGAATTCTGAGCTGGTGGACGAACAATACTAATCTCAAAATTCCTGAACTTTGGAATTGTTTCTACTTTAAAAGGATCAGTGCTGAAATTGTACATTATAAAAAAGTGACAATTCTGTGATTTATTCACCAAAACACGTATTCCATCATTCTATTCTTAGGCATTACCGCAGACAAATTAATCACCCAAATGAATGTAACCATTTTCCCCTTATAAGTTAATAAAATAGGGCAAAATTATGATTATTTTCAAATTTGTGTCAAATTGAGACATATCTAAGCATAATTTAGTCAAAGCTCCTATTTTGCATCAGATTTTTTCATTAAGCTTGTTTTAATTTTCTAAATATTAAATTTTTTATATTGAATTATCTTTTTTATTGATAGGGCGTGAAACTACTTAGTTGGAAAATACATAAAAATATCAGAACATCATACTATTCAACTTTACAGAAAAATAAACAAAAAAATAAAAAATAAATAGAAAAATTCTTAAAATTAGAAGGTACAATAAACATGAGGAGTTTTAACAATGCATATTGGTGCTCATCCATCTGCCAAAAAACATTGCTGTTCAGAATATTTGATAGAATTAACATTTTATCCGCAAAATGTAATAAATAATTACAAATATGTCCAATAAATATTACTCTTCAAGTACTTTGATAATTTCTATTATTTCTGAGATGGATGTTGTTCGATTGCAGTTAAAATCGCTTTGAGGACATTTTCGTATTCGGAAGAAACGCAATTTTCGAGAGATTCCTCAATATTTGGTTCTCCTTGTTGTTTAGTGTATTGACGATGAGCTGCTGAAATAACTGTTTTAATTGCTTGTTGTGTGACTTCTTGTGTAAGCAATCTTGATAATGGGAGGTCACGTTGTTTAGAATGAAATTGTTCTGAGTCGATTGATGATGAAAGCATGGCAAAATTAGAAATTAAATTGTATTCGTCAGGATTGAGTTGATCTGTTGACGTAAATGCTACTGACTTTTGAGAAAGCACATTTTCTATAACTGCTAATCTTTCTTCATCCCAGCCGGATTTATTTTTGCAATTTTGGCATTTGCAGTTAGGTCCGCAAACTCCGCCGCGCTTAAAGCAAGGGCAATCTAAGAGTAAGCAATTTCCATTGCAGCATGAACATCCACATTCTTCTGTTGACATTGAAATGTTTGATATTTTTTTTATAACAATCTGAAAACTTAAAAACAAAAAGTGACAATACTAAAATTCGTCACTTTTTTCTGTGTTATGTCGCTGTCTCGTTCAAATTCATCAGCAAAAGAAAAAGTCAGGCCAGCAGACATACCCTCATTTTTAGGATTTAACCCTACAACGTGTCCTTATCCATCAAATGTTGATATAAACCGATATGCGTTCGAGATTTTCTTCGAGAACTCACTTAAACCAGAAATAGGCAAGTTCGCATTAAATTCAGATCATATAGAACACGGTTTTCAGATTTACGCAGAAAAATCTCAGGAGTTTCCTAAGCTAAAGTTACTAATTAATCATCTTTTCCTCTTTGCATTTACAGAAATACTATTTGCTGACGGGGCTGCGCGTGCTAACATCTTTCTTGAACGTCAGCAAGCAAATTGTACCCTTTCTCAAGAAGAAATTCGTCAATTATTTGATCTCAATCCAGAATTCACAGATTCTATCACTACTATATTCGATCACCTTGTTGCACCAATAGACATCAATTTTGATACAGATTTCTTCAATAATATCAACAAAATTTTTGATTCAGCTCCGGCTGTTTCATTCCTTCTACGACATTTCTTACATGATGAGAATTCAAATGTCATCCAAGCCCCTGAATCAAAAGTCGCTCCTTACAATCAATTAAATTTGATGGTTCAAGACGACAAACTACCACAATATTATACAGAAACATCATCACCAAACATACAGCAACACACAACACCGTTCGCAGAATTCAGAATGGTTCGAAATTACCCGACAATTTACATAAGTCAGCCAAAGTACATTCCACCACCTCTTCCTTCACTTTCTTGCATTCACATACCAAAGTATGCTGACTTTGCCGCAGTTTCGAAGACCTCTACCGCTGCAGTTTTTTCATCAGATTGCCAATTATTTTATGTGAACGAGTTATCAGAAATTACAGAGCTTATTCCTCATTCAGAGACTATTACTGCCCTCTACCTCTCAACAGATGGCAAATGGGTCCTTTCTGGAGACTCATCCGGCGGAATTCTTCTTCAATCCATCGACAAGAAGCAGCATATGTGGTACGAACCAGCAAGAAGCCTCATAACATGCATTGCCTCAGCACCAGCGTTCCTCCACCAGTTTGCCGTCGGATTATTAAATGGAACAGCTCTTCTTTACGACGTTTCCTTGAAATCTCCCATCAGAATGTTCATTGGCCACACAATGCCGATCAGCTGCATCGATGTCCACAGCAACAGCGAGTTCATAGCAACAAGCAGCAGCGATGGATACGTCAGAATTTGGTCGGCCACTCGTGGTGAATGTGTCAGACTTTTCAAGGGTGCAGGGCTATCTCCTACTACTGTTAAGTTCAGCCATGGAGGACACTGGCTGTTCTCTAGCGCTGCTTCAGGAGAAATATCAATAACAAAACTAGGAGATGGAAAAGTTTTCAAACACAGAAAACTCTCTGCAGGACTTGTTTGCGCTGATTTCTCTCCTGATGATGAAGTTGTCGCTGGATTTGATGGATACGGAAACTTCATGATGTGGGAGACAAAGGAAATGCAGAACGAATCTCCTGAATCAATAAGAATTGATAGAACAAGAATTATTGCAATGGAGTTCATTAATTCATCTGAAATTAGAATTGTTGGTTGCCAAAAATAACTAATTTATCATATAGTTGTTATCTTTTAAATATATATCTTTATATTAATTTTTTCTTTTTATACAATGCTTTCTATGTATAAATTGTAGAAATCGTTTTTCAAAAGTGTCTACATGTAGTTGCCTATAGTTTTAGTTCTTGAGCTCTAATTGAAATTTTTTTTCTTAGAACTTTGTAAAAAAGTTCATTGTCATACATATAAAAGTATCGATGATTACGTATGGACCCGAGTGCATCCCCTTTAATACATATTGCTTGTCTATTGAGTATTATGCTCAATCAATTGTGCTGAAGAAAAAAATATCTCGATCAAAGTTTTTCATTGATTGATATATTGTTTTTAGCGGGTGTTGCACAGAATTTGAAGTGTCTAACACCAAGTGAGATATTCTATAGAGTTTATCAATTACTTAAGGAACATCTTTGGATCATCATTAAAAATGTCATTTCTGGAAATCATTTTGGCTGATTATCCTCAAATCAATCTTTACATTGATTGATTTTCATATTGTCTACCTGGTTTGACTCAATTTCAACTTAATCTCTCTATTAATTGATATTACACATTCACAATTTATCTCTATTAAACCAAAACTTTCAAAAAATATTTAGATGTATATAGTGAAATATTTTCAAAACAATTTCGAAAGTTTTTATATTTATTCTAACAAAATTAAATATATGATATGGAAAGAATTAATTTTTTGATAACAAGAATGACAATTATAGCTGGGATAAGCATAAACAATACATTACCTCTGAATTCTGTATTGATTTTCTTACTTAAAGCCATAATTTGCTCTTCAACATTTGCGTGGGCTTCCATGACCTCTTCCAATGAGTTTCCCGCCTTTTCCAGTTTCTCATCGATAATACTGCTTAAAGAAGAAACTGCATCTAAAGTGACTTTTATTGAATTCAAACTTTTGTCGCATTGAACGAGTCTTTCGTTTAATCTTTCACAAGAAGACCTTGTTGATGATGTAGATCTAGTTATTTCCTGCGACATTTTTGTAACAATTTGTTGCATATTTGGAATTGTGTCAATCATATCAGTAACAGCTGGAATTCCGATGAATCTCGGGTCAGCCTCTATTTCTAATCTAGGGTTTTCATCGTTTCCTTGTATTCCAGCTGCAATTTCCAATCTTTTATGGTCAAAATTACAAGTTGCTGATAATAAGACTCTAATCGTCTTTCTACCGCAATAGTTTTCCTTTATACTATTTTCTTTTTTGAACAGTTCTAAGTTCCTCGTTAAAGAACTTTTGAATTCGTCATCTTCTATGATATATCCGAGCATTTTGAACATACTAGCAACGTGGTGGACAATATCTAGCAGTTCTCTATGAGTGTCGGGCGTTAGTATCCTCGGATCAACCATTCTATGAGGAAATCCAGCTTCATGATATCTTGCAATGGCAAATCTAAGGGCTCCGAAGTCAAAAGTACAACCAAAATCACCAGTTTTAGCTTGCTGTGCTATTAAACTTGCGTTTTTAAGAGCTCTGAGGAGTTTTTCATCATCTGTTTGGGAAAATCCGAAAAATTCAAAAGCAAAGTAAGTATCTGTAAATAACCTACCTAGAGTTACATTAAATGATCCATTTAAACCGTATTGTACGTATAAATCTTTTTCATTTGACTCTAGACAATAAGGATTTAAAAATAATGATTGCGAAAGTGTGTGAATAATACCTAAATCATGTAATGCTCCTATCGCATGATATTTTAAGCCATTTTTAAGCCAATCTCCTCCATCCAAGAAAATCGCATCTGGATGTTTAACTAATTCTGAGCTATCCATGTAAACAATTTGCTTACCATCCTGATTCATGACACTCAAACCATACTTTTCGAAATCAGGTCTTACTTTAAATGAAACAGAAACGAAAGTTGTAATATGCTGCTCAGAAGAAGGGACAGCTTGAATAGTAAATGGAGCAGAAAAGTTACCTAGAGCCTCTGTAAATACGTATATCTTGAATCCTTTGATTGGAGTTGTTAATTGAGAGATTTTCTTGCCATTTTGGAGATAAAAAGAAGGATTATCTTCTTGATATTCTGGTATATAAAAGGTTTCCCCATAAATTTTACTTTCCTGGCGTTTGCCGTCAGGTGTCAACATTAAAAAATTGATAAGAAAAAAATTTGACAAATTTTAATGCTATTCAAATACAACACACAATAGATATCCAAATTCCATTAAAATTTATTAATAAATTCCGAAAGTACTAAAATCAAGAGATCCATTTCAAATCCTATATCATCAGAACATTTCTCAACAGAATTTATAATATATCCCCTACAATAGTGCTATTCCTATCAAATCATTGGTGTGTTTTCATATTTAAAGATCCTTATCAAATTTGTTCACACACCATATCATAATTGCCTTTGATCAATTACAGAATGTCATTCATAATGGTCTAGCCTCAATATTATTCAAACGAACTCAATTATATGGTTCTTTTTCTTTCATCTTTTATAAATTATCATTACTATGGAGAGCGGGACAAGATCGAAAAATCTGACATTTGTAAAGTTCCAAATCTGACGGTGTAAACTGTTTACAAATGTCAGATCAAAAAAAACTTTGCCCGCCAAAACGCAAAAGTGCCATAATCTCATGGTGGACCACAGCTGGTGTCGCCGCCGACTATTCACTTGCTGGGATGCTACGCAGCCTTTGATCTGGCCAATCATAGTGCTGCTCCATCCACATCAGCAAGTGATTTCGGCTGGAGATCTCCAATGGGTCTTCCATGAGGGTTACGCAAGCCAGAAGCACAATAACTATGCAGCCTAGCTGCTAGGATAGCGTAGCTAGGCTGCGTAATTATTGTGCTTCTGGCGATATTAGTTATACGTTATTGCCCTCGTTGATTATAGTACTACTCCCTTAATCTCCGAGGGTTAGGGGAGTAAATTTGCTCGAAATGGGCAATGTTCATTACGAAATCTCTCATTCGAGAGACATCCAGATAACTTCAGCATAAACGAATTACAGACATGTTCTCTCGCTCTTTGTGGGCCATGTACCACAACTACATTACAATAGGACAGTGTTCTTCCGAGGCCTCTCAAATGAGAGACTTGTCCTATTCGATTAATTACAGAATCCTAGGCCTTTTGAGAACCAGGAAAGAGTAGTAAGAGTACTTTAAGGCAATGCTCATTACGAAGCCTCTCATCGAATGAGAGATTTCGTAATGAACATTGCCTATTTCGAGCAAATTTACTCCCCTAACCCTCGGAGATTAAGGGAGTAGTACTATAATCAACGAGGGCAATAACGTATAACTAATATCGCCAGAAGCACAATAATTACGCAGCCTAGCTACGCTATCCTAGCAGCTAGGCTGCATAGTTATTGTGCTTCTGGCTTGCGTAACCCTCATGGAAGACCCATTGGAGATCTCCAGCCGAAATCACTTGCTGATGTGGATGGAGCAGCACTATGATTGGCCAGATCAAAGGCTGCGTAGCATCCCAGCAAGTGAATAGTCGGCGGCGACACCAGCTGTGGTCCACCATGAGATTATGGCACTTTTGCGTTTTGGCGGGCAAAGTTTTTTTTGATCTGACATTTGTAAACAGTTTACACCGTCAGATTTGGAACTTTACAAATGTCAGATTTTTCGATCTTGTCCCGCTCTCTCATTACTATGCTGTTTCTTAACTGTGAAAATAGTTATTTGGACATTAGGGAGTAATATATTCTTGTAATACAAATATCATGCATGTGGATAATTTTTAAACGTATACAATGCATCGAACTTACAGAGGAAAGCTTGAAGAAGAAATAAGAAGGACTCCAAAGAAAGAAGAACCAGAAGAACTATATGAAGCTCCAGTTGCTGACTATAAAAACGCTGCTGAAGAGCTCCAAGCTGAAAATATTCAATTAGAAAATGAAATTAAAGAACTAAAAATCAAAATATCAGAAGAAAAGAAAAATTACAACCAGGAACTTGACGAATTATTTGCAGAATCACGTGAAATTCAACAAAGCAAAGAAAAAGATGAAAACGAGATTCATGAAAAAATGAGAATAGTTCGTAAGCAACTAGATGAAATTGCTGAATGGTATAACGACACAGATAAAATAGAATCTGATTTACAAGAAGCTCAAGATACTGCTTCACAGATTGAGAACGAGAAGAAGATTATATGTTCCGTTCTAGATGACTTTATTTCTATTGCACAATCAATTAAAGATGGTCACACAAACACATCTCTTCTTACATCCAAATTTATTCAACCAATGCAATCATGTAAGCATGCACCGGCCTTAAGAAAGGAATTTATTAACCTGAAATCTATAATGATTCAGAAGGCATATAGATTACCGCAAAATATTGGCGATTTACAAGATTATTGAGCTAAATTTTTCATACTATGCATTCTAGATCTCTACTTTCTTTCAACACTTCTAGATCTAATGCACTATGTCGAAATTTATGATCATTTCACATGATTTTTGTTTATTTTTGTTTTTTATTAATAAATATTCGAATTTTATTCTTTCCCATTTATTTTATTGAAATTTCATTTCAATTTCAGGAAAATTGTTGATTTTTGATATTGTTTCAATGTTTCAAGGTTCAATTTTAAAATCTACCCATAATTCTATATTGGAATAGCCAAATATGCATTTTTCTTGAAAGAATGGGAAGTGCACGTTTAGAAATTTTTGACAAGAAAGAATGAGTTGGCGATCTCCTGATAGAAATCCAAAGAAAGCACAGATACCAAAGTGCACACTCCGTGGTGATGCACAAACATTAAGATTATCCACAAGAGATGATCCAAAACCAAAAAAGGAAGTCGTTATTCCGCCAGCTCAGTACGCTCCTCAAGGATCAGTACTTGCAGCAGAATATGTAGACAATTTAAAGAAACAACTATACATGCTTAACGCAGAATTACGATTTGCAAAAGATAGAGCAGGAGTTGATCTCCCACCAGGTCAAATGTCCGTTGACTCAGCTATTAGACGTCTTAGAATGGCATGTGCAATGCATGAAGAAGAAACAAATAAGAAAATTACCGAATTACAAAACGAAACTAATAATATTGCTCAAAAAGCAAGCGCAATTAACCAAAATCAAGCTCTTGAAGAGTTAGAAATAGCAAATGAACGTGAATTGGAAGAAATGAAATCTCTTGAAGAAGCTTATGTCGAATTTTCAAATGATATTCATGTACAAAACTTCCAAAAAACACAATACGAGAAAGCAAAAGGCTTCTTTGAGAATCAATTCAACGTTATTCAACAAGGTTACGAGACACTTAAATCTCAAAATGAACAACATTACCAAGATTTACAAACTATTGATAAAAACATCTACAATCTTAAAAAGCAAAAGAATGAACTTCTTAAGGGCATAAATGACAGTATACGTGAAAAAAGATTGCAAGAAGAAAAAGTAGATTTTATTGCAATTAATTCTAAGAAACCAAAAACCGGTCCTCCGAATATGACAATTGCTGCTATCAATACTAAAATAGCTAAATTAGAATATGAACTTAAAGCAATGCTTGATCAGCGCAAGGAGATGGAGCATCAAGTTGATGTTTTACTTGAGAAAAATGTTCAGTTGAAAGCTGAATATAATGACACAAAAGCAAGATTAGATGAAGCTCATAGAATCAAGGCAGAAACAGAAAATATGTTTACTGCTAAATATAATATCACAAAGAAGGCAAATGATGAACAGAGGCTTGAATTGGAAGCTGTGAAGAAAAACAGAAAAGAAATGAAGATGGAAATCCAAAATCTTCTTAAGACGTATTCCGATCAGATTTCACAAGTAAATACATTCCAAAATACACAACAGATGCTTACAGAAGTTATTCATTTTAAGAAGGATTTCATTGATGATATAAACGCAGAGAATGAACAGGCTAAAATCGAATTAAATGCTATAATTGATGAAAATACAGAATTAAGGAAGGAACTTAATGATGTTTCTCATAAATTAGCTGCAGCTTCTGAGAAACTCAGGAATGCTCAAGTTATTGCTGAAATCAATGAAAAAGACAAGAACTGTTCGCTTGAAAATATTCCACCAGAGCTGAACCAGTTATTACAATCTGTTGTAGCTGTTAAAGGTGCTATTGTTTAATTTAATCATACTTATTGTTTTATTTCTTTATTAAATATCTAAATATTTCTAGACTTGATAATTTTACATTTTCATATCATCTTAACGCAATCAAAAGCTTCTGAAGCAAGCAACTCACATTTAAATAGCAGAAACATATTCTAGAACAGAGGATTGAATTAAACAAACATTTTAATTAATAGATCTTTAAAAAATAACGAATTCCAATGCAGATGTTTACATTTAACAATAGATCTTTCCAAGCACATTTCATTGCAAATATCTATTGATAACCTTCAGCTGCAAAAATTAGGCGAACACTATGGATTAAAATTTAAAAAATGGTTCCGCTGGGGCTCGAACCCAAGACCTTAGCGTTATCAGCACTACGCTCTACCTACTGAGCTACGAAACCTTCACATTTTTTGCAATTTATTTAATAATATAATGTAAATCTTTATATGGCGCCAAATCGGTTCACAATTTTTCTTCGCGGGTAAATTTCAAAACAAGTTCAATCTATTTGGCGGGAAATTCCGCAATGCCATAATTTCTGTTGTATCCATTGATGCTCAGCTCCTCTGACCAATATCTTGACTCAAGGAATCCCGAATCATCTCCTATAATTGATTTAGACTCTGATATCTCTACAGATCTTTTAATCAATTTTGAAAAGAATTCTCACTTCCCAGATTCAACACTTTTTGACAAAGAAAGCCAACTTCAACTGTCCAATTTAGATGAATTGTTCTCTCAATCTCTAAGTCAATCCCGTATACCATCAGCCATCAGGAAATCTAAAAAGAAGAAGGTTATAAAATCGGCTATTTTCCATCCATTTGCTTCGATTGAAAACACAGAGATTACCGTTCAGAGCTTAAAGAGTTATTTTAAGTAATTTAAGCTTAAATAACTTAAAATAACGCTCGCATAGTTAAAACACTCGCAGCAAAAGTCGATAAGATGGCTGTAATTAGTGAATCAGATCAGTGGCGTGTTCGCCTCGGAGTGGTCCAACTGCTCTCAGCACTCGCCGCTGTCAATAAGAATGGAGAACTCAGCAAGCAGTTTTCGCAACTCTGCATACAGAAAGAGACAATCCGCTCTTTACATCCTTTCCAATATCGGAAAGACAGTCAAGACGCCAGAGCAGAAGAATCAGATCCTTCAAGAATTAAAGGCCTTCGAGGGCGACGCTTGTGAAAATGTTGTTAACCTTGCACATGAATTTATTGCTAATTTATAAAAATTTTGATTGATTTTATAAAAATTTAACTATTATTTACATTATATAAGGATCTCGTTTGGAGAAATAACGACTGGGATATTCAATGAATATGTATACAAACATCTGGTCTCATTTCAAAGTGATTCTTCTAATAAATGTTTATTATGGTGCTTAATTATCTCCTCATTTATCAATTCCTATACTTCTCAACTCATTGACTCCGGTTACCGGTAATTAGTGTGTTCTATATCTATTATCGCTTTCAAACAGGGAATATTCATTGAGTTATGATTTAAACAGAATTTATCATCAAAATATTTTATTATAAAACAAACAAATTATATTATTTAGAAATCGCAGCTTCCTTATTTTGCTCAATGATAGTTTCTATCATATTCTCATCACCAAGCTTCCTTGGACGTATAACTTTCATCAATATAAGTATGAAAATGAAAATTGTGCATAAAATAGCTAAAACTATGAATAAGACACCCAAGAACAAACTCTTTGATCCTGCAAAAGAATTCTTTTCTAGTACGAGATACTTTTTGCCATCAAAGAACGACTGAGGATAATTATTTGTGATTTGGATGGTGAAATCTCCCTTCGCAAGTTCACAATCCTTGCATATAGCGTAATTCTTTTGTACTGTTGAGGTCGCACCAGCTCTCATCCATTCAATAAAGTGCTCATTCGTCTGAGCACCAGGAAACAGGGTATTGTTCTCTAACCATTTGTAACCAGTTTTATATTCACTACTAAGAGGTTTGTAAAATGAGTCAACATCTGACGAAGAAGTGATTCCCGTCTCTTTGAAACCAGGATCAGAGGAAAGTATAGTAAATGTGTCATTAAAAACAGACCAAGCTGATAGGCCGCAAGGTAATATCCAATTTTCCTTCGATGAGGAGTCATTTATTGAACGTAAAGGTTTGCAATTAAGCATGTCGGAAAAACCAACATATTCGCCTTTTAGTTGACTGATACCTCTTGAACTTACAAACTGGTTATGGTTCTGATGAAAATTAGTGAGCTTGTACTTGATTCTTAATTCACCTTTAATTTTACTGTCGATATGAAATGTTACGTTGCATACACCACCAAGTTCACAGATATCATCGTATCTTTTTTCATAGTAAGGTAGTTTTTTGTTGACGACTAACAACAATGGACCTAATACGAATGATATAATAGCAAAAATACCTAGAACGATCATCATTCTAGCTAGAGTGAGCATCGGACGGAACGCAGGTAGAGCCTGCTGAGCGAATTTCGAATCTTTTGTATTAAAATAGCTCTCCATGATTCAATCCCGATTCTTAACGAATGAAAAAAGTGACCTTAAGATTATTCTTTTCAATTTTGATCGCAAATTTTATGAAGTTTTTAAATGGAAAACAAATCAAGACATTAAACCCGAATTTTTAGATTCAATCATCAGAAATCTCGTTATTTTATGACCAGGTTGCATTCAAAAATTGATTTCCTCAGAATAATTTTCAAAGTATCGCATCCTAAAATATTGAGAAAAATCTCCTATAATAGAGTGGATTAAATTTGAGGATATTCGGTTTTTCTGAATTTCAAACTTCTTATCGTACTTGAAAAAAACTATTGTCTTCTCTGCATTCCATATGAAAAACTGCCTCATAATGAACTAGCGAACTTCGAGTAATACCCATTTTGAGAGAATCATTAAGAAAAAATAAATAGAAATGAAATGATTGATAAGCATATAAACATATTTTAATGTAATTATCTCAAATCAAATAGATTTATTGCATTTTACAAAAAGATTAAATTTAGTTAATCTATGATAAATACTCAAATCAATGTAGTTCAATAAATAATAAATAAATTCTATGTTTTTACTCTAAAGTTGTTGAATCTAAGATATGATCTATCATATAAGTCTGTGTGTGCAGTTTTTCAAGTCTGGCCATGTGTCTTTCCAAGTAAGGAATGATACCATCTATATTCTCTGCGAGTTTCTTCCTGTTCTCGACGAAGAATTTCATTGGTTTCACCTTCAAAATTGCGCTCAAAGAAGCTGTAGCATCATCAGCCCATCTTCCATTTGTTGACCATTTTGCAATGTATTCAAGCCATTGCTCGTAATCATCAACATCCTCAACACCTTTGAAATACTCTACTAACGCTTCTCCTTCTCCTTTCTCTGTCGCCATTCTGACGATAGATCTTAATTTGGCCGGCATTCTCAATTTCAAAGCAATTCTGAGAGCTTTTACGTATTCACCGTTTCTTAGAGCGTTTTGAAGTTCCTGTTCAGCTTCAGATACTTCAGCCTTGTGTTGGAGTTCTTCTGCTTCGAGTTGTTCTGTGTTATCTCTCCACAAAACCATTGATCCGTCTTCAGAACCGGTTAAAACATGTTCTCCATCGTTAGAAACAGCCAAAGCCCAGACAGAATCACTGTGCATTTGAGGTGACGTGAAATCAATTGCTCCTGTTTTAGTTCTCAAAGCCTTGAAGATGCCATCACCTTCAGCGGCAATGATTTGCAATCCGCTTGTTGCAAATCTCAAACGCAAAATAGAAGCAGTGAATTCCGTGAATGTTGATAAACAAGCGCCATCTTCGATATTCCAGATCTTTACAGTGTTATCTCTTGATCCTGTTGCAACAATCTTATCAACAGGACTGAAAGCAACTGTCCACAATGCACCTGTATGGCCAACTAATGTTCTCATCAACTTCAAATTGTCGCCTTCTATTTTATAAAGTTTGCATGTTTTGTCACGACTTGCTGTTGCCAACATTGAACCATTTGAACTAACATCAATTGCATTTATGTCCTTTGTATGGGCTACGACGTTACAAAGAGCGCTTCTGCAGATTTCTTCGCCATCTCCTGGTCTCCACATTTTTACTGTGTGATCTGCTGACGCTGTAACAACGTTTGATGTTCCTGGGACAAAAGCAACTGCTGTGACTGCTTCACTGTGGCCTTCCAATGTTGAAAGTAAAGAAAATGTCTCCAACGACCAAATTCTTGCTGTATTATCTTTTGCACCTGTAATTAGAAGTCCGTCCATGGAAGCAACACACAGAGGAATGTTTGTATGGCCTGTGAGAAGATGCGTGTTGTTTTTCTGGGTGACAATTATGTGGAATGACGAAGTTGCCAAAGATGAAGTTTCTGTTTTGGCATCGTAAGTGGCATCGTACACGGAATGGAGGGATAATGGAATAGCATGTGGTTCTACACCATCTTGGAGATCAACGGTTGCTAAAATTCCATTTTCATCACATGAAAATAATGTTTCGAAATAAACTAAATGGGTGGCTACTGTAGTGTTTAACTTCTTAATATGTGATCTATCATCAAGCCAAACACGCTTAATTCCATCAGATGTGGCGCAATAACAAGATAAAGAATTCTTTGGATCGCCAACCATGAAATGGATTGGGTATTGGACTGGAACTGTCTTCTGAAGTTCGACTTCTCTGTTGAAAACGAGAATAACTTCATCAAGTGATGCTGTAAAAATATAATCGCCAACATCGGCAATTCCTGTAACTCTGTTAGTATGTGAGGTTTGTGGATCTGTTAATGTCTTTGTTTTAAGTGTTTTTGGATCGACAATTGAAAGCTTACCTAAGTTTGTGCCAATCCAAAGTTGACCGGTTGTATCATATGCTTTGGAAGTAATCTGGCCGTTTACAATATTGGCTTTACCGATCTGTTTTTGTGTTTGAACGGAATAGAAGTAACATCCTCCGTTAGTTGTGATTGCAGCGAAGCCTCTTGCTGTAGGATCAATGATTAATGACGGTGCATTGTTGCCAGGGAACTTCCATTGCTTGTAAACTGTCCACTTGTCGTTTGAATTTGTCCAAAATTTAAGTAACATAGATTCGTGAGATGTAATTGCAAAGCGAAGGAGTGTGTCAACGGCAACATCAACAACTCTATCGTCAGATTCATCATTTGGCTCGAGTTTGTACGCTGTATTTCCTGAAGTTGAATCAATTATATAAACTTCTAAATTGTTAATTGTAGCAAAATGGGTTGAGCTGATCTTTACGATCTGTCCTCCGCCCCAGCGTGTTTGAAGGCTCTGCTCAACAACGTAAGAGCGCTTGATTTTTCCCATTTGACCTTTCTTCTCAAAATTTTTCGATGTCTCCAATGATTTTTAAAATCTAATCAATTTAAATAAGATAAATAACCTAAACATATAATGTAACGAATTTTCTCTCATATAATATGGCATAAATTCTTTTAATTTGAATTTGCAAATTTTAAATCATACAATTATTGCTTTGATTGTATTCTAGAACGACTACAAAGATTAATTGTATATCAAATATATGAATGAATTAGCGGCATCATTTGGTAATAAGGTTGCTGAATTAGCTCATGTATTTTCATCCAAAAACAATATCTGTATTTCAAATCTTATGACGCAGTATGCATGAGAAATGATGAAATAATTGCAGAGAAGTTTAGAAGCAATACATTGAATAACAAGACATGATATCAACAACTTTACCTAATGAACTCATGATATGCACTGTAAGCTAATGTTGTTTCCATAGCATGGAATGCTTAAAAGTGAATCATCGAAATAACAATAGCCTCAAAAAGATACAACAATTCTTTAATTACCAAGTTACAAGCAAGCAGAATCTATAATAGCAAAACAATAAAGATTGAATGACTAAATAAAATTTTATAAAAAAAAAGAATAAAATGGAGTACCAAAGAATCTTTAAACAAAGCCTCAAGGAAAGCCGTACATTAAATGATACAACTTTCCTCATGGAGGAGCTTACAACTACAGACGAGGTTCATGGGAAAGAATGGTCTGAAAATGCCGACCTTTACTATGATAAGTATGGCATAGCACCAGATGGTGGCTGCGTTGTTGTATATCATGATCGCTTTGCCGGCGATGATGTCAAGAAATTGCATATTTATGATTCTTATCTCAATTTAATTAAAATCATCGAATTGAAGCAAGACGGAAACCCACAAAAAATCTTTGTTACACAAGAAGAATGTATTGTTGTCGTTTTTGGTAACGGCACAGTAGCAACTTATAACATGAGAGGTGTTTGCTTATCACAGAATGTCGAATACGAATGCGGCTCAATCGATGTATCATTCGCGGCATTCTGGTCTCACGGCGTTTACGTTGTTTCATCAAACCGATCAGTCTACGTGTACGATGACTTTGTTTCTCTCAAGCCAAAATTATTCTGCAAGTGGGCAGGCAATACATTGATGGGTGGTGTTGCTGTTCCAGCTAACCCAGTTACAGGCGTCATGGGCCACCTCTGGGCTTATGATTCCGATGGACAACTCGCTTTAATTCAAGAAAATGATTACGAGTTCCAAGACTTTTACTCCGCTGATATCGGACCGATCAAAGGCATTACATTCTCACCAGATTACGATATTGCTTGCGTATACACCGAGTCTCACTACTTGTTCTGCGAACCAGATATGTCAAAAGTCATCTTACACAACGAATACGATGAAGTCGAGCCAAAATCAGTAGTCTGGTGCGGCTCAGATACAGTCCTCCTCATGTGCAACAAGTTCATTGTCATGACTGGTGCTTGTTCTGAAGCTATCAGATGGGATTACACATCATCTGTTGGTGCTGTCTCTGAAATTGATGGCGCACGTGTATTTACAACAAACAATGTCTTCCTTCTCCGCTCAATTCCACCTGTTCCTCATGATTTTGCATTATGGAATACAAAATGCCCAGCTGTCCATCTTTTCATCGAAATTTTGGATGAAGAGCAGCTCGCCATCCATGATGCCATCGATGAGTTCAACATGGATCAACTCACTGAAGCTATTAATGGCTTATACGACGCTGCCATCTTCTTTACTAAGTTTGAGCAGCGATCACCACTTCTCACAGCTATCTCTCGCGCTATCAATATGACAAAGGAGCCAAAGGAAGATGGTTCTGAAGATGATGAAAAATTGATTCGAATCAGAGACTTCGAAGGCTTCGCCGATAGACTCCAAACACTCAGATGCATTCAAACAGTCTCACGCGATCCATACAATATACCAATGTCCTATCAACAATTCACACATGTCACATCTCCAGTTTTACTCAAGAGAATCTGCAACAGGTCATTACATATCGAAGCATTTCGCATCGCTTACTACCTTCGCGTTTCTACAGAGCTCATTGCTGCTCACTGGGCAAATTGCCTTGTAAATACCAAACTCGATATCGAAGATATCACAAAGAGACTAGCAGCAATGACCGAGCCAATCGATTATATCGACCTTGCAACTACCGCTTTCAACATTGGAAACAAACCACTCGCTGTGGCCCTACTTGCCGCTAACCCAGCAAAGGCCAGAGGTGTTCCATTGTTGATAGATAGAGGCCAATGGGATGAAGCTCTCAACGCAGCTATCGATTCCAGCGATACTTCTTTGATTGTATTCGCATTGAACAAAGCTCGCGACGAAGAGCAAGATGACCCATTAGAAGCCATTCTCAAGTCATCAGAGATCGCTCGTGGTACATTCCTTTGCGTTGCCGATGACGAAATTCGCGAAGAAATTTACGAAATTTGCGGTGACCCACCGTTCGTCAAACTCCAGAAGGCTACTTACAACGAGGATGCCAAGGAAGCAGAACTCTACAGGAAAGAAGTCAGAGATGCAAAGGATCAGCTCCATCTCGAAACTTACAACTTCTACAAGAACCTGTTCAAGCACAAGAAGGACCTCGAAGCCAATGGTTACGAGTGCAAAGAAGGCGAGCCACAAACAGTTTTCGCCACAATTGACAAAATGCTCGAAAAGAACGCCATCAAAGACGCATATTCCATCAGCAAACTCATGGGCATGGACAAAGAAGACTTAGCGTTCAGATGGCTTCGCATTGGCGTCAAATTGGACAATCTCGATATCATCCAAAAGATCTACAAAGAATACAAGCCAGATTTCGTCAAAGAGCAGCTTATTCCATTCTGCGAGAAGAAGCTCAAGCACGCCGACGGTGTCAAAGTCCTCATGGGCCAAGATCCATTAGTTGTGAGACCTCCTCCAGAAGAAGAAGAAAACAAGAAGAAGAAAGGCAGGAGATCTCGCAAGAAAGAAGAGGAAGAGAGGAAGAAGAAGGAGGCAGAGGAAGCAGCCAAGAAGGAGGCCGAAGGAGAGAAGAAAGAAGGAGAAGAAGGAGCTGAAGGAGAAAAGAAGGAAGGTGAAGAAGGAGAAAAGAAAGAAGGTGAAGGTGAAGAGAAGAAAGATGAAGCTCCTAAAGAAGAAGCAAAGGAAGAGGCTCCTAAAGAAGAAGCGCCAAAGGAGGAAGCAAAGGAAGAAGCACCTAAGGAAGAAGAAAAGAAGGAATAAGATAATTCTTCTTTCTTGTAATTAGATAATTTATTTTTTTGTATTATAAGGTCGATGAAAAAAAAACCGCCGTTTGAGAGGAAAATTGAGAGCCCCGATGTATACTTTTTGACATTGTCAAAAACTTTGAAAGGACCAAAAAAATTTTAGTGTCAGAAAGTTTACAAATGTATACTTTCTGACAAACAGACTCTCAGAAAGTACTCAAACTGCGGTTTTTAATTTCCGCACTTTTTTTGGCGACCTTAGATAGTTTTATTTTGATTTTTCCCAAAAAATTATAACAAAAATTTGATTTTTTTTTCTTTTTTATTCGTAAATATGATTTTTAATTTTTCCAAAACATTTTATATTTAAACAAAATGAGTCTTTCAGTCATCGTCTAAAAACTCTATTGCGAGGAGCTAGATTAATAAGACTCAAACATTTAACTTTATGATAAATAAAATCTTCTTTTGATTTTCCTTCTACAAATATGTACTTTTCAAGAGCAATATAGTCAATGACCTTGTTTGTGATATTATCTTCAATTGCAGATGTGTTACTCATATAAACTATCATTCTTTTTTTACCAAAAAATGCTTTAGTTGAGTTTGATAAAATTGTTTGACTTCCAATATAAAGGCTACTTGCATTTGGGAAATACTCTTTAGAACTTATTATTGTGTTTAAATTTCCTGGAATGAAAATATTCATTGGTGTGGTAATGTTTGAAAATTCATTCGAATCAAATCGAATTATGTTCATATTGCTTAGTAATGTAAAACTTTTCAAATTCACGCAACCACTAAATGCTTGTTCTCTTATCTCTTTCACAAACTTAGGAATTGTAATACTAGTTAAACTTGTGCATTGACAAAAGCACCAGCTTCCTATTGTTGAAATGTGTGGTGGAAGTATAACTGAAGACAAGTTATAGCATCCATAAAAGAGATCGTCTTTAAATATCTCAAGCAATTTGCATTCACTAAAATCTGCTGTTTGTAAGGTTGAGTAAGCAAAGCTTCGAGAACTTATACTTTTGATTTGGCTATTTTCTTCGAATCATAAAGTTATGATTGAATATTGACAATTCTGAAACGCAGAAGAGCTCGAACTTTTGCTATATATTTCAGAAACTATTTGAGGAATTATAACTTCACCACTCGAGTCTGGTGAACAACTGACAACTGTTCGATTTGTTTCATTCTGATATATTAAAGGGATAAGACTAAAACTATTAAAGAATAGAAACCAAAACAAATTTAAATACAATTATTGAATAAAATGTCGAAAAATTAAATAAATACACCTAATAGAGAAACTATGTGATTAATTACTATGAAAGGCGTATTTCATCATAAACTAGATTTTTCAGCAATAATTTTTTCTATAATTGAATTGAAATTTGCAATTTTAAAGGAAAAAGGAACTCAACTCACCACACACGCGTTTGTCATGACTAGTCCGTCATCGCTAGAATGACAATACTTAAGCAGCTTTGATTTACAATTTTTTTTTGAACTTGGAATGAAAAGGTGCCAAGTACATCCACCATAAGGGGAACAATATACTCAGGTGCCACAATCATAAATATATTTTCTCGACACATAATCAGCATCTTTCAACAATTATATTGTCATGCAAAAATTTTAGTGACATTCATGACACTTTTTATCGATGACAAATAATACCATTGAACTTTTTCAAAACTCTTGCTAAAATTTGTTGATAAGCATGCTTAAAATTGTTGATTATCATAATAATCTCGAACTTTTTGAATATCATTCAATAAATTCAATTGCTTTTTGACTTTCTTTTTTATTTCAATTTCCTGGGATGATGTATTCCCAAATACATGGAGTCATGAGACAATTCAAAATAGTGACACAGCACGCTTAATTGGCAACTGAAATTACTTTATTTTAGATTGTACGTTCCATGGTTTAGGTCCTGAATCAGCAATTCGACATTCAACAACACGTTCTACAGTTAAAGTATATATAACAAGCAGTGAATTCGATTCATGTTTTTCCAGTGATCAAACAGGTGGATCTCTCCACTTTTTAGACCAAGGCCAATTCGTTCAATCGAAAATTAAATATAGGAACTCAACAAGTCCAGCATATGGAACATCTTTTACAGTATGGGCATCTCCTGGAACAGATTATAAGAACCAAGTAAATGAAACTGAAGTATACAACTGTGGAAGTTCAGATGATAATTCTCGAATTACATTGTTCATGGGAGATGGACATTGTATCCTATATCAGTGCAACATAACAAGAAACAGGGTGAAAACCGATACCGGTGGTTATTTAATTTCAACTAATGATAATCCTTTCATATCTTACATAAACGTCATTGAGAATTATCAATCCTATGGCGAATTTAATTCTCATACATCAAGTCAATCATCAGAATCAAGATATTTAGTTACTTTCTGTAATTATGTCAGAAATAAAGCACCAAGTGGAAGTTTAATTTATACTGATACAATTCTTGACATGAACTATTGCTGCATTGTTCAGAACAAGCTACCATTCATTTTCTTTGCAAGAACAAGAAGAAGTCAAATAACTTTTGAAAATTCGTCAACAGATGGAACTACTTTCAAAAGAATTGGACCAACATTTAAAACTACGAACTTATCAGAGTGTCTTCTTCTCTATAAAACAAAAAAGGTCATTAATATCACTGATGATGTCAGTTATCTCTTTAAATTCTATCGTAGACATTAACTTTCTCTTACATGAAAATAAACATAATATTTGCCTATTAAATTTTAAATTTTTTTTTATTGATTGATTATTTTTGAATTTTCAAAGCTCTTAATTTGCTATTGGATTATATAGTGAAAGATACAACAATGAAATATTTCGTTTTCAATCTTGAAATTTTTATAATATTAATTTATCACAACTGGATTAAAATACACTAGACTCTTTTACTTTGGGACATGGATTTACCCTAATCATGCTTGGGAGAAAAACATATCTTGATTTTCAAAATTTTGCTGGCGGACAAATGATAGTGCGTTTTTAATCCAAGTATTTGGGTACATAAGTGACGGTTGAATATTATCTCTATAAAACTCATCTTTTTCTTTTTCTATCACTAAAGAATTGAAACAAGTATGTTAAAGTCACCAAATATTTAATATATTTCTATTTGTATGATTGTACGTAATAGATGTTTAATGTTACAGCATTTGTGTTCCAAGCTTATATACGTTTAGAATTTCTTTTTCAATCTGCAATACTTTCTCTATGAGCAACGAGTATTCGCAGAAGTACAATGATTTTATAGACACATACGATAGAATCTTTAATGTGAAAACGGGCGAATCATATGAAGAAATTGCTAATCTGATAACATCAATTTTAATCAACAAATATAAAGAATGCTTTAAAGATATAATTTTGAGCATTCTAACAGCAATCGAGTATGATTATTATCACATTAGACTTTATCTTAAAATTCTTAATCAAATATTAGAAATTCATTCCTTGAAATTTAGAGATTTTTTAAAAGATAATGATATCAAAGATTTAGCTGAGAAATTGGACATATTTATTTCAACCAGAATTGAGAACCATGTAACATTCAACAGAAAACGTTATCCTAATAAGGATGATATCCATTACATCATTATGCATGATCAGATTGACAAGTTTAAAGAATACATTTCTCAAAAATCAATTGACAGATTATGTTTCAAATTACCTATTTTTTCCGGTACTTCCTTTTCTCCAATTGAAGAATGCTGCTTATTTGGATGCGTTAATATTTTTTATTTCCTCATTTCGAACTTTAAAACGGAGATTTCTGAAAATTGTCTCAAGTACGCTTTTGCGGGCAATAATACAGATATTATCAACGAATGCTTAAAAAACCACCAAGTCAATGACGAATGCATAGATTTCATCATCTATTCTCATAAAAATGCATCTTTACAATATATAATAGATAGGGATTTGTATCAGATTGATAGGATATGGAATTTGGAAGACAAAATTATCAAATCTCGAAATTTGAAAGCTGCTTTCATTTTGTATGATAAAGATAAAAACTCTGTCATTCCATGGTGTGCTGCATTTCCACAGTTTAATGAAATTGTCGAAAATGAACAATTGGATTTCTCAAGAACAATATCTGGAAAGACAATCTTGCATTATGCTGCTTTATTTAACAATTCAGATATTTTCAAGGTTTTAACAAAAGCAGAAACTAACAAAATCAATATCAACTCGTGTGATAATGCTGATGAAAATTCTGCACTACATATCGCATTATTAAATAATTATACAGAAATAGCTAAAATTCTTATATCACGTGGTGCAAACGTCAATCTAAAAAACAAGCAAAACAAAAATCCTCTTTTAATTGCATTTGAAAAAAAGAATGAAGAAGTTGCAGAACTACTTATTAAAAGTGGAGCAAAACTCGGAATCAAATTAGAAAGCGGCCTATCTGCCCTTCATTATGCAGTACTTAATAATTGGTTAAATGCAACAAAACTTTTGATTCCACAATCTAAAACTCTCAATCCAAAAAACAAAAGTCATGAAACACCTCTTCATTTTTGTGTAAGATATGGTCATAGAGAAATTGCTGAACTTCTTCTTTCCCATGGAGCCAAATTCACAGAAAAGAACAAACAGGGAGAAACACCCCTCCATTTATGTGCCAAATTCAATAGAAGTGAAATTGCAAGATTACTTTTTTCATATGGGAACATTAAAATTTCTGATAGAGATCCAACAACTCCTATTCATATTGCTGCAGAAAAAGGTAGTATAGAAATCGCCAAAGTATTAATTGAAAATGGTGCCGAAATAAATGGCAAAAAGCGAAATGGCGATACCCTTGCTCTTTGTGCAGCAAGAAATAATCAAGCAGAATTTATGCAATTTCTTATTTCAATAGGTGCTGATATTTATACGAAAAGTTCTAAAGGAAAAACACCGCTGCATTTAGCAGCTCAATCTAATGGTATTGCTTTGGCAGAAATTCTTCTTAACAACGGTGCAAATATCAACGAAAAAGATGATGACGGACAAACTGCTCTTCATATTGCAGCGAGATATGCTAAAAAAGAAATGGTTGAGTTTCTCTTATCACACGGTGCAAATGTCAGAGCAAAAACAAAGAATAAAGAGACAGCTCTTCACATTTCTTCAAAATTGGATAAAAAAGAAATATCTGACCTTCTAATTTCACATCGTGCTGATTTATATGCAAGAGATATTGACGGAAGGACTCCACAATCTTATATCACAGGGACAAATAATTACCCCACTACGCTGCATATGGCACTTAGAAATCGTTTTTGACTCGCATTCCAAAACTTGTTAAAAATTGCAATAAACGCCTTTATATACATATAAATCATTTGGTCATATTAGTAAATGACAGCTTTTTTTGTATTGTTGGTGAAGACTTATGTAAAAATTAAAATTGGGAATTTTGACCAATTTTTTTGATGGATATTTGAACAACATGAAATAAGAAGTTGAGTTGTTCCTTTACAATATCATGCATTATACACAGCACTGCATTCTGTATTAAATATATTAAATTTGAATGCAATAACTAAAAACGAAAAACATATGTCATCTCATCATATTTTGAATGAGAAATATAGAATAAATTATATAGAATGCGAGTTTTAGATGTTGAATAATTTTGAAAATTAGAATTTTAGGGTAAAAAATCATGAGGAATACTACTTTCCTCTAATATGTACAACCCAACTACTTGCACACCATATTTTCTGAATGAATAATTTCCTTGGTGGATTTTAGTAGTTTTTGCCAACAACAATCCGAAATCATCCCTCCAGTTGACAGAACAATAGCACACTACCTGATTTTAGACTTTAAATCAACTGTATAAATGGCATTGGGATTGTTATAGACCGAAAATAGATTTTTTCGGTTTTCTCTTCAAATAATTGAAAGAATGATACTATTATAGGTTTATTATATTATATAGCATATAATCATGCTATAGCCGAAAATTATAAGTTTTGAGAAGATTGAATATAACACAAATAAATTTGAAGGTAAGTTAAATTGCTTGTTGTTTTTAATAGGTATTAAATGAGAAATCCAATATTGCAAAATTCAAATTGAATGATTGAAAGAACAGAAAAAGTCATTCTTTTCAATTTCGAATATGTTTCATTGTATTTATAATTATATGGCAAATACGATATTTAAACTTGATTTTTGAAGGAAAATTCACAAAATTGAATGAATTCAAATAATTGTTATTCAAAAATAAACTAGTTATTTGAGTTTAATACTAATTATCTATTCAAACTACAAAGTTTGTAATTTAAAATATTTTGTGAGATCAGATTGAATTAATTCAAGGTTCTTTTAAATTAATATTAATGACCATATTACGCATTTTCGAACATTCTAAACCAAATATATAAAAATGGGAGACGAATGTTAAATTTGCTAGACATGGGGGAGTTGTCTGCAAAGTTTTAGCTCTTATCTCTAACAAAAAATTAATTTTTAAAAAAATGACCGAATACGTTTCACAGCGAGAAAAAAATAAAAGGCAAGATATAATTTTCTAGACATAAAGAAGTTGTTTACCGAGTTTTAGCTCTTATCTCTAACAAAAAATTAATTTTTAAAAAAAATGACCGAATACGTTTCACAGCGAGAAAAAAATAAAAGGCAAGATATAATTTTCTAGACATAAAGAAGTTGTTTACCGAGTTTTAGCTCTTATCTCTAACAAAAAATTAATTTTTAAAAAAATGACCGAATACGTTTCACAGCGAGAAAAAAATAAAAGGCAAGATATAATTTTCTAGACATAAAGAAGTTGTTTACCGAGTTTTAGCTCTTATCTCTAACAAAAAATTAATTTTTAAAAAAATGACCGAATACGTTTCACAGCGAGAAAAAAATAAAACTGTACACTGATTTTAATTTTCATTTCCAGTCACTTTACTTATTATTTTTTCTTTTTTTCATTTTAATTATAAATTATTTAATATTACGTTTATTTACGTTACCATTTTCTTTATTCTTTTGAATTCCATACTAGACACTTATAGAATATTTTGATTGTTAACGTACTTCATTAGAATGAATCCTTACAAAGGTATGTCGATCGAATTTACCTAATTGGTATTTCCAATCAGATTGAAGAAGGTAAAATGACATGGGAAGAAGCTTGCACCCATGTTCCCATCGCCCCAACCCTTCAATCAAATGATTTCAAATATTTAGATGTTTCAAAATCTTTTTTACAAAATCAATTTAGCTTACAGAATATCCCATTGCCTAAAGGCAAGAAAGGTCGTAGGGTCAATCCCTACGGCCAAATCAAAGCTCTTGCTGTGATACATGACCACTGGGCCTTTCCCTGTGGTCAAACAAAACAATGGAAACGTTTGAAATTACAACAAATTGATGTATCTTATAGAGAAGTACGCAGATACTTCAAAGAAAATCATTTCACCAAGACGCGATTAGAGCATGCCGGGCCAGAAACAGCAGTAAGATATTGGGCGCTTTCACCCAATCTTATCTGGCACGCAGATGTTCATTATTTTAGGGGTATTCGTGGCCAGTATATTTATGGCATAATCGACAATTTTAGCCGCAAAGTCCTAGCGTGTATACAAATACCAGATATGCTGGCAGCGACGACAGCGAACGTTGCGGCTTCCGCCTTCATTGAATTTGGCGCCCCTTATTGTTTCTGGACCGACAACGGTTCAGAAAATAGGGGCGCCTTTCAAGATCTACTTGATCTTTGGGGCGTCCAATGGCGGCATACAGACTCTCATTCTCCCTACCAAAATGGGAAGATTGAGAGATTCTGGCCGACATTGGAGCGCTGCCAAAGCATTCAGGCTATTCCTGCCTTTATTTGGGAGTACAATAACACACCGCATGAAGATCTCCCAATTAATCCATTAACTGGAACAAATTACACGCCAAATCAAATGTATCAGCTGAAACCGAAATACACAAATGCAGATACAGAAAGGTTGTGGCAAATATGGGATACAGATACAGGCATGACCGCTGTTGACACATTCACAGCGTAATAATAAACATAATTTTTTAATTTCATTTTTAACAAGTTTTTTTAAATGTATGTAATGAATAATTCATTAGAATATGATAATGCACATTGTAACAGAATAGAACAATCACCAAATTTTTTTTGAAATTAAAAAAAAATGTAAAAAGTATAAAGTAATCTAACCAAAAAAGATATTTAAAAGAATTTTGGAAAAAACAGAATAAGGATAATGATATTATTTTAGATACACAATCGATGTACTGAAGAATAATCCAGTAAAATGATGATATAAAATTAGATTATTTTACAAGTAGCTAAAAGAATAAAACTATAATATAAAATAAATGAAGTTTAATGAAACAATAAAGGTTAAATAAATAATAAAGATTTTTATTTTATATCAGAATTGAGAAGAAGTAACAGCTGACACTTGGTAGACAACTTCTTTATGTCTAGAAAATTATATCTTGCCTTTTATTTTTTTCTCGCTGTGAAACGTATTCGGTCATTTTTTTAAAAATTAATTTTTTGTTAGAGATAAGAGCTAAAACTCGGTAAACAACTTCTTTATGTCTAGAAAATTATATCTTGCCTTTTATTTTTTTCTCGCTGTGAAACGTATTCGGTCATTTTTTTAAAAATTAATTTTTTGTTAGAGATAAGAGCTAAAACTCGGTAAACAACTTCTTTATGTCTAGAAAATTATATCTTGCCTTTTATTTTTTTCTCGCTGTGAAACGTATTCGGTCATTTTTTTAAAAATTAATTTTTTGTTAGAGATAAGAGCTAAAACTCGGTAAACAACTTCTTTATGTCTAGAAAATTATATCTTGCCTTTTATTTTTTTCTCGCTGTGAAACGTATTCGGTCATTTTTTTAAAAATTAATTTTTTGTTAGAGATAAGAGCTAAAACTCGGTAAACAACTTCTTTATGTCTAGAAAATTATATCTTGCCTTTTATTTTTTTCTCGCTGTGAAACGTATTCGGTCATTTTTTTAAAAATTAATTTTTTGTTAGAGATAAGAGCTAAAACTCGGTAAACAACTTCTTTATGTCTAGAAAATTAATATCTTGCCTTTTATTTTTTTCTCGCTGTGAAACGTATTCGGTCATTTTTTAAAAATTAATTTTTTGTTAGAGATAAGAGCTAAAACTCGGTAAACAACTTCTTTATGTCTAGAAAATTATATCTTGCCTTTTATTTTTTTCTCGCTGTGAAACGTATTCGGTCATTTTTTTAAAAATTAATTTTTTGTTAGAGATAAGAGCTAAAACTCGGTAAACAACTTCTTTATGTCTAGAAAATTATATCTTGCCTTTTATTTTTTTCTCGCTGTGAAACGTATTCGGTCATTTTTTTAAAAATTAATTTTTTGTTAGAGATAAGAGCTAAAACTCGGTAAACAACTTCTTTATGTCTAGAAAATTATATCTTGCCTTTTATTTTTTTCTCGCTGTGAAACGTATTCGGTCATTTTTTTAAAAATTAATTTTTTGTTAGAGATAAGAGCTAAAACTCGGTAAACAACTTCTTTATGTCTAGAAAATTATATCTTGCCTTTTATTTTTTTCTCGCTGTGAAACGTATTCGGTCATTTTTTTAAAAATTAATTTTTTGTTAGAGATAAGAGCTAAAACTCGGTAAACAACTTCTTTATGTCTAGAAAATTATATCTTGCCTTTTATTTTTTTCTCGCTGTGAAACGTATTCGGTCATTTTTTTAAAAATTAATTTTTTGTTAGAGATAAGAGCTAAAACTCGGTAAACAACTTCTTTATGTCTAGAAAATTATATCTTGCCTTTTATTTTTTTCTCGCTGTGAAACGTATTCGGTCATTTTTTTAAAAATTAATTTTTTGTTAGAGATAAGAGCTAAAACTCGGTAAACAACTTCTTTATGTCTAGAAAATTATATCTTGCCTTTTATTTTTTTCTCGCTGTGAAACGTATTCGGTCATTTTTTTAAAAATTAATTTTTTGTTAGAGATAAGAGCTAAAACTCGGTAAACAACTTCTTTATGTCTAGAAAATTATATCTTGCCTTTTATTTTTTTCTCGCTGTGAAACGTATTCGGTCATTTTTTTAAAAATTAATTTTTTGTTAGAGATAAGAGCTAAAACTCGGTAAACAACTTCTTTATGTCTAGAAAATTATATCTTGCCTTTTATTTTTTTCTCGCTGTGAAACGTATTCGGTCATTTTTTTAAAAATTAATTTTTTGTTAGAGATAAGAGCTAAAACTTTGCAGACAACTCCCCCATGTCTAGCAAATTTAACATTCGTCTCCCATTTTTATATATTTGGTTTAGAATGTTCGAAAATGCGTAATATGGTCATTAATATTAATTTAAAAGAACCTTGAATTAATTCAATCTGATCTCACAAAATATTTTAAATTACAAACTTTGTAGTTTGAATAGATAATTAGTATTAAACTCAAATAACTAGTTTATTTTTGAATAACAATTATTTGAATTCATTCAATTTTGTGAATTTTCCTTCAAAAATCAAGTTTAAATATCGTATTTGCCATATAATTATAAATACAATGAAACATATTCGAAATTGAAAAGAATGACTTTTTCTGTTCTTTCAATCATTCAATTTGAATTTTGCAATATTGGATTTCTCATTTAATACCTATTAAAAACAACAAGCAATTTAACTTACCTTCAAATTTATTTGTGTTATATTCAATCTTCTCAAAACTTATAATTTTCGGCTATAGCATGATTATATGCTATATAATATAATAAACCTATAATAGTATCATTCTTTCAATTATTTGAAGAGAAAACCGAAAAAATCTATTTTCGGTCTATAACAAAATGGCATTGAGATTGAGAAAAACATAACCGATCAATCATTGAAAAAATTCAAGAATAAAGTATTATCCATACTCATTACTCAATATAATGAATATCTCAAAATTTCAAAAGAGTGGGATAAAGCCGATAGAACTATCCAAAAGATACTTTGGATAATTTTGAAATGGATAAATAGCCATGTATACTTTGTGCAGGAATATTGCCACTCTTATATACCGATCAGGCACTTTAAAAAATGAATTCAATGAGAAAAAAATTATCTCGTCTGGTCGATATTTGTGAGCAGATATAACCACTTTCCACAGAAATATCTTCATGCAAAAACATCCATAAATATCAATTCTACATACAAATATTAAATTTTTAAAATATTATTGAGTCCATCTAACATCGAAAAAATAACCCAAAAGTGGGAATTTTAACTTGTAGCAGAGAAATTTTTGAATACAAATGAGCAAACTTTTGAAATAGAATTTGCTCTATATCAGATGAGCTCCACACTGGTGAAATTTGGGGTGATTTTACCAACGATATCTCAAAAATTAGATTCTTATTAACTTCAATTTGCCGAGTTAACCAAAATGTTTTATGTGTATTAAGAGGATATTGGATAAGCATGCAATATCTACGCTTATTATACAAACTTGAGTTTTGATGATTATCTTGAAATTAAGAATTTAGGTTTGGAATTTTCATGTATCATCACGGCTGTATGCATATAAACAGATGTAGAGTAGTATGGCTATCAAAAATAACCCAGTTTTATTGAAAAATACGGGTGCTACAAGTTAATATTCATATTCAATTTGGGACGATGCCACTTTTATTATTTTTTAAAAAATGTTTTTGCTACTTGTTGGTTTAGGTATTTCAGCACTTCCAATTGGACACACATGCAAGAATGCCTCCCTCGCTCACGATTGTGGCGATTATCTTATCTGCAATTCTTCCGGCAAATGTGATGCCTGCGTTATTAACAAGTCACAATGCATGAAGCATTTCTACTGCCGCGAAAGCAAGAGACTCGGCTCTAACATTTGCAACTACGAACCACTTACACACAAATGGGATACACGTCTCATTATTGGTATAATTTGCGTCTTCATTGCTGGTATCTTTGTTTCCGGTGCTGGCATTGGTGGCGGTGGTCTTTTCGTCCCAATTATGATGCTTCTCGTCAACTTCCCAACATCCTACGCTATTCCAACCTCTAAGGCCATTATTTTCGGCGGCTCACTTGCTGTTACACTCTTCAACTTGAACAAGCGCCATCCATACTACGAGCGCCCACTTATCAACTACAACGTTGCCGCTATGATTGAACCAATTTCATGGCTTGGTACCGTCATTGGTGTTATTTTCAACAGTATCATCCCAGAATGGCTTCTTTACTCCGTACAGTTCGTCCTTCTCACATATACAGCATGGAACACATTCAAGAAGGGCCTCAAGGACCAGAGAAACGCCAAGCTCGGAATTTCACCCAATAACGAACTCCTTGTCAAAGGAACATACGACGGCCCAACATACTCTATCGGTCTTCTTTGGCTTCTTCTTATTATCTACGTCGTCTTCCTTGCCATTTCCTTCCTTCGTGGTGGTGATGGTGCAGATTCAATCATCGGCATCAAGTTCTGCTCACCAATCTACTGGGCACTTACATTCGGACCATTCCCAATCTACCTCGGCATCACAGCTTGGATGGTTCACATTGCCAAGAGATATCCAGTTCTTGGCCACAAGAACGAGCTTACAAAGAAGGACATTTTCCTTCTCATGATGTCAGGCTTCGTCGCCGGTATGGCTGCTGGTTTCCTTGGTATCGGTGGTGGCATGATCAAAGGTCCAATGATGCTCGCCCTCGAAATCGAAGCAGAAGAAATGGCTGCTACGTCATCATTCATGATTCTCATGACTTCTAGTGCTACATCTATCCAGTATATCGCTGAAGGCCTTATGCCATGGCTCGAATTCGGTGTTTTCACAAGCATGGGCTTTGTTTCATTCCTTATCGGTGTTATCTTCCTCAGATGGCTTGTTAAGAAGCTCGGCAACCGTTCTATCTTCCTTTACTTCCTCGCTGCTATCATTATGATCTCAGCTATCCTTATGTCTGTTGTCGGTATAGAGATCATCATCCTTGAAGTCAAGGAACACGCTTCCATGGGCTTCAGACCATTCTGCTAAATTCAACTAAAAATTATATTTTATTTTTCCCTTTTGCCAAAAAATAACATTCTTTTTATTTTTATTTAAGTTTTTTCATCTATAAACTCCAGATTATTAAATTATATGACAAAAATCATTTTTATCAAATTTACCAAATTAATTTTGTAACATTTTGATGAAACTCCTATTCTCTATTTTACCTAGCTATTTTGAATTCAAATTAAAAAGGTTAATATTTCGGTTTTGTTAGTAGAATCGTTTATTACTTCCTCATGCTGTTTTAAAAAATCAATAATGCCATCAAATATATTGAATTTCATGTATTTCTTGACAGATTTCAGAATTGAAACGACTTCTTCGAAGTTTTTGATAGTAACATTTGCTTTTCGTGTACATGTATATAATTCTTTGCCATTGATAGTTGATGATGATTGTTTCAGAAGAGTAACGTATTGATCTGCTGTAAAACGTGAATATTTCATGATTGTTTTGATATCTCGAATATCAAATGTATCGAAGAAGTTTTCATTATTAATATAATCGCTGATATGAGCAGCAATGTATTCGAAATTCAGATCCATGTCCTATTTCGTTTTTGAAAAAAACCGCAACTTTACAAAATAATCTAAAAAAAATAAATAAATAAAAAATAAAAATTTTTGTTCAAAATTAATACTTTATTTATATGGCGATCTATTCATTTGTAAAAAAACAAACAAGCAAATCATATTTCTTTGTGAAGATATATCTTTGCTTGTTTAATTTGGACATTCCAACTACTATTTTGGAACTTCGTTTTTAAAATCTATACGATTTAAAATAACAATTATTATGATTAAATTTGATTTTTTTAAAACGAATATAAACAAGCGATTTCTGACTGTAAAACAGAATATATGTATTATGATACTATGATTTTTCATGAACAATGATTGTATGATGATTTATGAATCATTTTCTCATTGATGTTTTAGAATTGATAAATTGAATGGCACTCAATTTGAGGTGTTCAGAAAACAAAAAAATCGCTTTATTCTAGAATATAGTATATGCTTGTCTATTTTACTTCGATTTCCGCCAAAATTTTTTATCTCAATCTCTTCAAAGGGATCTGTAAAATAATGGTTGCACTCAAAATTATTTTGAAAGAATTCAAGTTTCACGTTAAATCATAAATCAATTTATTCTTCTATAATGATGATATATAAATTTTTATCCAAAATCTGATCAATATTGAGAATAGGAACGTTAACTTTTTCGCCATTTACCAATGTTCAGTTTCCTTCTTACCTGCTCTATGAGCACGATAAACCAGACAGAATATTATTATATAGATGTTACAAGTTCAGGAACAGATATTAATTTTTCGTTACCATACTCTGAACAAAGCGAGTATTATATGGTTTTAATCAATCCAAGTTTTTATCTATGCATTAATGAACGTCCTTATTCATCAAGTATTTATAAAATCTCATCCCAAAGTGTTAATTTTTATTGCTTAGAAGATTATCGTTTATATTATATGATTATCAGAGTAAAAGATTCATGCTATGCAGTAGAAGTTGCTCTCAATCCAAGAAAGGGTGATTCTTATGTATTTAATTCTTCGAGGTCTAATTTCCAAGTTGTGGAAAATTATTGCTTAGTTTTGATAGGACAGGATAAATTTGATGTTAGGTTATCATCAAATGATGATAGCAGAGATCAAATCGTTTATCAGGCCAGCTCAGATTATCAGAAAATAAACAGAACAAAGTTTCCAGGAGAATATCTATATTCAGAAGTCAACTCATTTTGTCTGTTATACGATGCATTTAGTAAAAATTTATCAACAAAAGTTGATATTATATCGGTAAAAAAGGGGGTTGGCGTCCTAAGGCGTCCTAGTGTAAATTTCTCAAAATTGTGATATTTACATCACATTTTTGAGAGGTTTATGGGCGTCCTAAGGGAAAATTGAATAGCTAGGGCGTCCCGAATTTTCATTCTAAGATTTAAATATATTATATACTTAAGTATAATACAAGCAATATAAAAATTAAATTTTTATTATGTTAACTTATAAGAAATTTTTTTGAATTATCGTTGATTTATTGTAATCTTTCCAGGCTATACTTTTGAAATCAACTTTACCTGTCATACGCATTAATGTAGTAGATGTCCAGGTTAGCTATTATATCCCAGCAACATTGGTATTTTATCATTGTAAGATATCAAAATGAAGCGTTTTTTCAGATATAATTTTTCGTAAATTTTTCAAAAATAAGATGGTAAAAAAGCCTCGACTTGCTCGAAAAATAACAATTTTTTACTTGTAAAAATAACCCTTTTACAGCATGGGCAGCTATTCAATCACTATTTCTTTTTCTAAAAGTATATTTTTCAAAAAAAATTAAGATCAAATTCGACAATTTCTTGATGAAAGCAAAAATATTACACATACTTCTAGATGCATGGGATAAAATATGCAATTATTCAATCAATTCGCATGATTTGAAAAAAAATCTAAATTTGATAAAAATGTAGAAATTTTTTATTTTTAACTTGAGATTCGATTTTTTTGATCCAATTTGTGAATTTTTTTGATCGGAATTTCAATTAATTTGTTGATCAAAAATGACCTCACAATGTTTGATCATAAGTGAAGTCATCTTCATGGGTATTTAGAAATTCCAAGAGAAATTGCTTATTTCTCGCAGATGTAATATCTGAGAAAATCGAATTTAAATATTCATAGAAACCCAAATCATTCTCCGGTTCGAATAATTCATCTGTTGCTTTTTCTGTTTTTTCTATGAATTTTAATAATTTGATTAATAAATCTTCATCAGGAAGAATTATTGCTGCATTTGTGATAAAATTCCATATTGAGGTAATATGGCAATAATTACATTTATAAAATGTAATTTTATCCAAAATTTTTTGGCAAATTCGCATAATAGCATTAATATTTGAAGCTGAGATTAAACCTGTGATTACTTCTGTAACTTTTGGAAAATCATCGCAATTTAATATCTCTTTATATTGAATTGAGAAATAAAAAAAATCAAATGGATTCATTTCTTCAATTTCAAGGAGATTGTAAAAATTGATAGAAGTGTTATTGCAACAAATTGTATTTGCAGCAAAAAATATCATTTGCTCGATTCCATTTTTGGAATAAATTTGCTGGAATAGTGTTAAATTAAAACAGTTGCTTAATTTTTCTTCATTGTTTTCATAAAAAAGTAACAAGTTTGCAACTGAAATTTCAAAATTTTGATAATTGCCAGTTATTTCAGTAAATATATATATTTGCTTTTCTTCATCTAAAAATGGCAAATATTGATTTGCAATATTAACTAAAGTTTGGGATAAATTGTTCCAGTTTGATTTTACAATTTGTGAGCACATTATGTAATATGTAAATTTATCCGCCTTGTAGGAATTTAAAATTGTTTGTTGTTCTGTTTCAGTTAAATTACTGAATTTTTCAAGATTAATATTGTGATAAAAAATAGAATCCTTGAAACATTCTGATATCTTTTCAATGTTTAAAACGGATGCTAAAAAATGTAAAAGAACTTCATCAGTCACTGTGATTTTTTTGAAAAATTTATCCCAATTCAAGCATCCAATTGATCTTTCTGTCATTGTACTTATGCATTGATAAAGTTGATTTAATGAATCCGAAGAATAATCATTATGCTTGACTAGTTGAGTTAGTTGATACAGACTGTCGTCAGCCATTTTAAAAAAATGAATAAAATTGTATAGTAAATTATATTTGTGAAATTTGTGACGCTACATTCAATCTAAGACCAATATCTCAAAGAATTCCTCATTTAAGTATTACTTTTCATTTTTGATTCAATTTTCGAACGGTTTTCGTAAATTTTGCATCATTTCATTTTTTAATGGGAAAATCATCTATATTTAATCAAAAAAGAGCAAACTTTACAGACGAAAATAAAATATTTATCAGGGAACAATCTGATAAATACCAAAAATCAACATCGAGACATGAAAAAACGAATATAATCAAACAAGTTCTTCAATATTTTAATATTAAATACGCCAAAAATGAATCTAAAGCTGTCAGAAGATATTTTAGTTATATTGCAGTTAAAAATATTCCCGCAGTTACTGGAAAATATCCTGATACAATTGTTCGCAAAGATATGCTTTATTCGCATGATCATACAAATATTATTAATTCAAATAATATTGAACGTTACTACCGTTGCATCGATCATTCTTGTCAAGCACGTTATTTAGTTAAAATTGAGAACAGTTCAGTTTCCGAAGATTTACAAAAGGAACATATACCCGAATGCAGACAATTTAAAAAGTTACAAAATGAAAAAAATGATCTTCATAAATCAATGACTCTGACAGAAATATACAATAAGGCAATGGCAAAATTTTCTGAAGACAACGGCACTTTTCAGCAGATTAAAAAATTTATGACAGAACTTGCTGTTGGTACTGATGAAAACCCATTAATTAAAGATTCATTGGTCAGGGAAGTTTATAATAAGTCCAGAAAATTTTCTGTTGGAGAAAAAATTACAGACGATGAAATTGCTAATTTTTGTTTAATAAATGGCGAGCAGTTTTTCATTGGCCATGATTTTCAAGCAAATTGTGAGACGATGTTTTTTGGTTTTGAGAAGGCAATTCAATTTGCAAAAGAAGCCACAGATTTATTTTGCGATGGAACTTTTAAAATTACACCAAAACATTTTCAAAAAGGACAGATGCTAACAATTATGATTTGTGAACCTTCAACAAATCAATATCTACCACTTTTATTTATATTCATGAAAAACCGCACATTTGAATCTTATAAGAAGGCATTTGAATATATTTTTACTGTCAAGGGTATTCAATTTTCAAAGCTAATTCAAATTCATTGTGATTTTGAAAAGGGAATGATAGAGGCACTTCAACAAATTTTCCCTAAAGTCCGTATAATTGGATGCCTATTTCATTTCAAACAAGCTTTACACAGGAAACTTGTAGCACTTTATACAAAAAATTTCAATACTTTACAAAATTCTTTATTTAAGCTATATTCTATTACTCCATTCATGTCTCATGAAGAATTTGTACTTACAATGCATATAATTAATCAAAATAAAGTTGATTCGATCAAAGATTATATTGATTATTTCAACAAAGTTTGGTTGCCGCACTACAATTTAATATCTCAATATAATAATGCAACTGCAATATTCACTAATGATTGCCTCGAGAGTATGCATTCAGAATTTTCTTCGTTAAAACATCCAAACATTTATGAAGCTATTAAGAAGATATCTCAAATCCAATTAGATAAATATAACGCCATCAAAAATAACCAGAAGATCGAGCGCCATATAAAAACCGTTATCACTGATAGCTACAAAAATTATATTCTTGACTGCTTTCAAAAAGAACTTGAGAAAACAATTTTTTCTATCAAACAATACAACGTAAGTGATCTTTCTTTGGCTCAGAACGAGATTTCTCCATATGGTTCCATAGAATCGAGTTCATTGTTCGAAAATATTCCAGTTCATGATGCAGATATACTCAAATCGATCGATCTAACAGATAA